TCCCCATCCCAACATGCATATGGCCAATCCCCCCAAGCGCACGCCCTTCCTAGGCACGCGAAAACCCATCCCCCCGCGCGCACATGTCATAAGCGCAGAAGTTGAGCGCGATGTAGGGCGCAATGGACACCAGCGCCGGCCCCAGCCCAGCATGCACACGGCCGATCCAAGCATACACATGCCCAATCGTAGCACGCACACACACCCTATCCCAGCACGCACATGCCCATCCCCTCATGACGCACATGCCCCATCCCCTCATGACGCACATGTCATAAGCGCAGAAGTTGAGCGCGATGTAGGGCGCAATGGACACCAGCGCCGGCCCCAGCCCCTTGTACAGCGACCTCGCGCCCTCCTCCCTCACCATCGCCATCGCCACCTGCCACCCACGCAGAGCCACACACGGAGAGAGTGCCGCACGGGCATAGCGAAACAGAGTGAGCATGGCTACACACGTGGTGCGGTGCTGGTATAGGTAATGCTAGCGAGGGTAAGACGCCACAAGAGTCCAGCAAAGCAACGAGGGAGGATGGTAGTGCGCAAGCTAGAGAAGTGCAGCACTAGTATGCATGTGTGATGTGGCAATGGTAATCACCACAGCCCCGAGCCTTGACCACTTAGCCGCGCCAACCACCCCCCTTTCCGCCTCTCTCTTGCCTCCGCTACAGCCATCCCAGCGCTTGGAAGTTACACAATAATCATGCACCGATGTGATTTTCCCTCACACTGGTGACTCCGCTACAGCCCGATAGTTTAAATATCGTCTGTTGTACCCTCCCAACAATCTCCAATGGCCGACACTGCCACTCCCAGAACTATCAGTCCTACAGCGGCTTGTGGCGCAACCTCCTCTCTGCTTCAATCCCTCCCGTCGTCTCGCTGACGCATCCTTCCCTGCGCTACTCTCTGTAGAGGAACCAAAGGCAACTCTTTCAACGGAACATGCTCGTCCGCCCTGCTTTCCGAACAACGCTGTAAGCCCCAGCCGCTGATCACCTCCGTGGCCGCCGCTTCCCCTGACGCTCGATGATCGCTTCTCGTGCCCACGTGCTCCTCTATCCCTGCTCCCATACCTCGGCAGTGCTCCGGCTGCATACGCTACGGCTCCAGCCACCACTATCACTATAACGCAGCACCTCGCAGCGAGTCTAACCCAATCCCCGATGCCCACCTGCGCGATGCTCCCGTTGGTGGCGTCTAGCGCCATGCGCAGTCGCAGCACGTCCAGCGGGTACGTCACCAGCGTCGACGTCATCCCCGCGCACGCCCCCGCCGCCAGCCGCGCCGGCACCGACAGCTCCTTGCTGCTGCCTTGGAATTGCTTCTGAGAACAGTAGACGCGGGTGTGGGAATTTGAGTTTTGAGTCAACTAGTCGACTTAAAACCGGGTGAAAGATTTTCAGCTTGCACGAGCGGAAAGACTACGAGCGGTAAGGCGAGAAACGGTGAGGCGACGACGCACCTTGTAGAGCTCGTAGGCGAAGAGCTGCACTGCACTATACGGCACAATGCGCATGACCTGAGGGAGGGGAGAGAGAGAGTGTGTGTGTGTTAGGGGGGAGGAGGAGGGGAGGGGGGAAGGTGGGGGAGTGTGGTTGACAGGCGAATAAAGACGAGGCGAAGAGGAGATTGATGGGAACATGAACGGGGGGAAGAATAGCGGGATAGAGTGACACAGTGGAGGGGACAGGGTTCTAAAAATACGACTCTGCCCGACGCAAGTCAAGGAGAGAATGATCAGTGTGAGGGAAAGGTTACCTGGGGCAGGTTTCCTTTCCAGTAAGCAGTCACGCCGCCTTCCTTCCCAATGTCCAGAAACGACTGCCAGCAAAAATCGGCGACAGGCAGATGATAGAAATACCACATTAAGCATGGGTCTGACCGGCAACGGAAGCCGCATGGCAACGTGACCTGATTTGATGTCAATGCGGCAACATGGGATGAAATGCACAGGAGGTGATGACACAATGTGGAGAGCCACCGAATGCACAACACAGGGCCAGGAGCAGCGGCGGAAGATGCTGACGGGAAATCACCTTAACGAGGTTGATCTCCCTCGGCGGGATGACCTTCCCCGGTAGAACGCTCTTGACCTGGGGTTAACGAGGGGTGATAGCGGGTTGCGGAAAGAGAGAGCGAAAAAAAGACATTGTTGACAAACAGGAGAAATGCAAACCGATCCGACCGTTTTCCCCTCTTGCACCCCACTCCCAGTCGTTTCTGGCTTTCCCACCACACTCTCGTCACGTCACCCACCTGGATCATCAGCTTCCAACGGTCTAGCGGCGCGGTCGCGGTTTTAGCGGCAGCGCCGGCGACGGCACCGGAGATGAAAAACGCGGCGTCCTTGGGAATGCCACGGAGGAGCGCCAAGGGGTGCGTCAGCAGCTGCACCAGCGACGGTCGTGTCACCACCTCGTCCACACACCCACCCCGATCCTGCGCAGCAGCCTCGGCGAGCGGCGCATCTGACGTCAGCTTGCGCTCCTCGATGGCTGATGCCTCCGAGCTTACGGTTTTTAGGGATGCGACGGAGAGTGGCATCGACGTGGGGGCTTTTCCGAAGTTGGCGCTGGTGACGGCGGGTGCACCATCGGCCTTCTCGCTGTTCACCCGCGCTACGGACGCCGGCGATTTGACAAATGCAGCGCTCGAAATGGCGGCTAAAGGAAGGGCTGCGCGAGCTTCTGCTCCTTGCGATCCTTTCGCCGCTCGTCGTGCCTTACCCGAGCGATGCCCTACTGATTGAACGTGCGACCTGCTGGAAGAAGCACGGCAGTCCGCTGCTCCGGATGGCAATGATGCGGATGGAAACGAGGACAAGGTGGCCTGAATGCCCTGAAACCTTTGCCGGTGCGTCTCGCAGAAAGTTTCAAAGCGCTGCTTGTGATCAGCTAGAGAGGTGTGCAGTGTTGAGACGAGAGAAGAGAGATCGACGGCCAGGGCTGGTCCATGCTTCGTACGGCTGTCAAACTGAGAAGCCATCCCTGTTCTTCTTTACCTAAATATATAGAAACGGATCGAAAAGGGTTCGTAAACCACGTTCCTTCCACTCGGCTATCCTGAAGCTGGGACTAAAAAATACCCAGCAGCAGGAATGGCCAGAGCGAAGGAATAAGCTGAAGGTAGCAAAAGGAAAAGGGAGACTATGAAGCTGGCTTTTGGAATAAAGCTGGCTACTGATTAGAGTCCAGTGAGAATCAGCCTGCCTGGCAACTGACCAGTGAGCTGATTTGAAGCAGCAGGAGGTTTTCAAGTTCAAGGGGATTGATATCCACTTTTTCCGCAGCCGCCAGTCCAGGGACAAGTTTGGTTGGGCCTGGACGTTGGCTTCTTGTTCTAGAAAACATCGTACGGCTGATGCCGTCCTCATCGATATCTCATCGTTTGATCTACGGACGTAAAATGTCGGCCCCTACTTTCCACTTTTCCAGGGTGGATGGGTTGACACGCACTGCCGCGTTCCCTCCGTGCTGTGCGCCGAAATGTGGATACAGGGTACAAGAGCCGTCGATTATGAATTTCACCCAGACATCGAACCGTTCGTTTTCCTTTCGGCTTGTGCATCCTCCACCCAGAGCATCAGCCAGCACTGACAGGAAAGGGAGACTCCACGTGGACAGTGGCTTTCGCGGCAGTGTAAGGTCAGGACGCGTGGAAAGGCATCGTTCACGTGTGCAAAAGCCTCATCCAATTAGGTCATCAAGCCAAGTATTTTACTCGTTATGAGACAAATCAGTTCCGTAAGTCTGCTCCTTTCAGATTTCAAAGACTCTGGGTGTTCTTTCCAAGCTTAGGATGACAAAGGCAATCGAAAAATTTCGTGAATTGTACGCCACACCAGCCGAAACTCACTGTTCTTTGGCACAAGTGTCGACCTCGGATCGGGTTGGGCTGTGCTCCAATACAGCATTTTTCTGAACCAAATTTGCCACTTGAGATTCCGCTACTCCACCAATGGGAAGAGGAGGCAGTGAACGCGGGAAATTGCAGATTTCAGAAGCTGGCTGACCCCCCTCACATGTGCACAGCATTTGATCAGAATCAATCATTCTGTCCGCAGCCGACTTCATCGTTTCCCAGCCGACTCCATCATTTCCCAGCCAACTCCATCGTTTCCCAGCTGACTCTAATTTTTCAGCCGACTAGCAAACTACTAATAGCACTAGACGACCCTTCATCTGTACGCACAGTGCATGTCAAGAGGGGTCTCGTCCTCGGAATGTTTATTGGGCAAAGGGGTTTCGTAACGACGCGTGCCAAGCTTACGATAAATGCTGCAAATAAGCGTGTCATGGTCGAGCGCTCGTAACTGTCGGCATTGCTCAATTTGATAGGCACCCGCGACGTCGGCGCAAGCATTACCGGTTAGGGCCAGTCGACCGACAATGGTTGATCACGCAGTGGAACTCGCTTTTGCGTAGAGATTGGTGTCAACCCGCGGAGCTCTTGGTCATCAGACTGGTGTCCATATCGCGGCGCCCAGCCAGTCTGTCCGCCAATCTGACAAGAAAGCGGTTTGTGTCATTCACGCGTTCATCACCCGTTCCGCCGACCACCAAAGATGCAGCCTTCAGGGCCGTTCTCCCGCAGCAGCAACCGACGAGATTTGATTCCCACCAGGGATGAAGCGGAGAACGTCAGCGCGCAAAAGTCGGGAAGCTTCGGAAGAAGCAGCAGCAGCGGTTTAGGGACGTCGTCCCCTTATGGCCGGTGGAGATCGGTCGAGTTTTTCCTCATGTACTGCTACACCGCGTACTTCTACTATCAGGTATGATTTATCAGACGCCAGGTACCATTCCCGAGGTGTGCTATCAGCACTTCTCATGTACTGCTACACCGCGTACTTCTACTATCAGGTATGATTTATCAGACGCCAGGTACCATTCCCGAGGTGTGCTATCAACACTTCTCATGTACTGCTTCACCGCGTACCTCTACTACCAAATAAGAGTTCTTAGACGCCTGGAAGGTTTTACTGCTGCACCCGCCATCATATGTGCGGCCGGGTGGATCCACGGCGAGTCCTCCCAATCTCACTCCCGCTCTTTCCCCTTGGTTCTCTCGTATCGCACGGCTCTTTCCTCGCCTCCTCTCATCGCCTCTCCTCTCCTTCCCTCCGCCACTGCCAGTTCCTCTGCCGCGCCATGCGCCTGCGCCACTCCCCGCACGCCCCTCGTGCAGCATCATTGAGTCGAACCAGAAGTCACCCCCTTCTCTCCCCTATCTCCTCTCATTCCCTCCCTCATTTCCGCCTCCTTCACTCCCTCATCCCCTCTCCTTCTCTCCCTGATCCCCTCTCCTTCTCTCCCTCATCCCCTCTCTTCCGCTCCCTCATCCCCTCGCCTTCTCTCCTTCTCCTCCTCTCCCCCATCAGGTCATCCGTCACGCCGTGCGTCTGTCCAACCGCTACGCGTCCCTCGTGCAGCACTGGCCGGCCGCCAGCAGCGGACTCTACCCCGGCTGGATCGCCGGCCGCAAGGTCGACCTCTCTGACGACCAGTGGCGGAACTTTCGCGGAAACCTCCCTATTCTGTCCGTGGTCATGGGAGTCTTGTGCGGCTTGGCTTTGGTCATCAGGCTCGGGGCCGCAGGCTCGGCCCGAAGCAAGGACGGTTTGGTGGGGGGTGGGAAGAGGTGGGGCAGCGGGGGAGGACACGTGTTGGCGTGGTACTGGCTGGTAGCGTCTCTAGCGTACGTGGTGTACCTGCACGAGGCGAGTACAGTCTTCCTCCTTGCCTTCGCTGTAGCGAATTACGTTCTAGTGAAGCAGCTGGGGTCCTGGTGCGCAAGCAGAGGTAGCAGCAGCAGCAGCAAGCAGGGCGCCGGCACAAGCAACAAATGGGACTGGCTGTTCCCAACCGCCCTGTGGGCATGGCAGTGCGGCTCCTACATTCTCATCCGCTCATACGACGGCTTTAGATTCGCCCACATTCCCTTCCTGGGCGGCAGTCTGGCATTCCTGGACGCGCACAGGGGCGTGTTCCGGTGGGAGATCTGCTACAACCTGCTGCTGCTGCGCATGATCAGCTTCGGGCTCGATTACTACTGGGCTGCCCGGGATGCAGCAGCAGGCACAGCAGCAGCAGGAGCAGCAACAGGAGTGAAGGGAGAGCCGCTGCTGGGTTCCAAGCTCACAGGGGTTGTCAGTGCCAGCAGCGTGGGAAGCAGCTTCCTGGAAGCTCACCGAGCCAAGTGCTTGCAGTGCAGGCAGGGCCAGGCGTGCTACACGGCGAGGCAGGGGGAGAGCCTCCCTCTGTCCGCATATTCCCTCCCCGCCTACCTCGCTTACCTCCTCTTCGCCCCACTCTACATCTCCGGCCCCATCGCTTCTTTCAATGCCTTCACCTCGCAGCTCGACACCCCGCAAAAGACAATGTCCGCCGCCCGCGTCGCCATGTACGCCGTCCGGCTGGCGGCGTCGTTTCTCCTCATGGAGCTCATGATGCACTTCTGCTACTTCCAGGCACTTGCCAAGTCCGCCGGACCCTGGTTCTCGGAAGCTTCCCACAGCACCGGGGGTAACGACCTGGGGAGTGCCCTGTGGGGTCAAGAGGCCCCGGGGAATCTCGCTCTGGGGATGAGCATAGTGAGCTATGGCGTTCTCAACTTCATGTGGCTTAAATTCTTCCTCATCTGGCGCTTCTTCCGCCTCTGGGCTCTCGTGGCTGGCGTGGAAACCCCCGAGAACCTTCCGCGGTGCATCAACAATAATTATGACATTGAGGGGTTCTGGCGCGGGTGGCATGCGTCGTACAACAAGTGGATCGTGCGGTACCTGTACATTCCGCTGGGCGGCGGGAAGCGGAAGCTACTGAACGTGTGGATCGTGTTCACGTTCGTGGCGCTGTGGCATGACCTGGAGTGGAAGCTGCTGTGGTGGGCGTGGCTCACGTCGCTGCTGCTCGCACCGGAGTTGATTGTCAAGGCCATTGGCAACCTCAAGGCCTTGCAGGTGTGTGCCTTGCTTGTGTCTGATATTATAGCTTTTTGAGCAGAAGGGTGTGTTTCTCTGTGTGCGTGTGTGTGTGTGTGGTGATCCCTGGCATGGGCAAGCGAAAGGCCTTGCAGGGACGCGCCTTGCAGCATAGTAGCACGAAACTATGCTGCATAGGGAGCATTGCTGCATAGGGAGCATTCCTGCATAGGGAGCATTGGTGCGCTGTGTGCCAATTCGTGCCATGGCATGGTTCCTACCCCAACCACCTTCGCACCACCTAATTCCTTGCTCTCCTCCCTCACCTCCTGTTCTTGTCCCTTGTCTCCTGTTCTCCTTCTTGCCTGCTATTCTCGTCCCTTATCTCCTGTGCTCCTCCCTTATCCCCTGTTCTCCTCCCTTACCTCCCGTTCACCTTCCTCCTCCTCCACTGCCCCGCATCTTCTCTCTGTGCCTCTCATCCCGCAGGCCTTCCGCAGGTCGTGGATGTACCGCGAGTGCTGTGCACTAGCCGGCTGCATGAGCGTTCTCAGGGCTCATGGCCGCCAACCTCGTGGGCTTTGTGCTGCTTGCTGGGTCCTTTAATACAAACACCCCCTCCCCCTCTCCCTCCCCCCCCTTAACCCTCTACCTCCCCCCATGCCTCTCGCCCTGCGGGGCTTCCGCAATTCGTGGCTGTACCGCGAGTGATGTGCACTAGCCGGCTCCATCAACGATCCCGGTTATCGGTCTGATGACGGCCAACCTGGTGGGCTTTGTGGTGGGGCTGGGCGGCGTCCACAGCTTCTCACGTCACCCCCCTCATCCTCCTTCAATCTGGTCCCCTTGCAGGGCTTCCGCAAGTCGTGGATGTACCGGGAGTGCTGTGCAATAGCCGGCTCTATCAATGTTCTCGGGCTCATGACGGCCAACCTGGTGGGCTTTGTGGTGGGGCTGGACGGCGTGCGTGGCTTCCTCTCCAGCTTCCTCTCCGACTCCTTCCTTGTACTCGTTACAGTCTTCTCCATGTACGTTGGAGTGAAGCTTATGCTGGAGATTCGTGAGGGCGAGGTGCGGGCGAAGGTGAAGCAGAGTGTGTTGGGGGTGGAAGGGGCAGGAGGAGTTGGGGTGAAGGTGGAGCAGGGGTTGCCGGGTGGGGTGGATGACAAGCACGGGCATCAGATGTGAGCAATCAGCAAGACTTGCATGGGCATATGAATATGAGACTGTCTTTAAATGGTATCCAATGCATGACTGACTGCTGCAGTGGTGTGAGTTCTGTCTGGACACAAGATTGCTCAGCTTCTACGGTAGATTTTTCGAGCTATACAGCATGTCCTCTCTGCGCAGAAGTACCCTGATTATCACCTGCTTTTATATATCATGAAGTTGTATTTAACTGATTGGACAGCAGTCCGATTTGGCATTAATAGGCTACATCACACTCTGCTCTTGGTTTCTAAGCAAGTAGACGTGTGGTGTTACGAGTGCAATTGAGTGAACGAACGAGAATTGCACTATCGAAGCAATACGGTAATACAATGAGCGAGGGCGTGAGCGAAGAATATATAGCGAAACTACAGTGGTAACGGTAATGGTCTGTGGTAGTCGCGCGACGAGCCTGGGACTGAGGTTGGGAAAGTGTCGAGGCGTAGGCCCGGAGCGCGGGTTACCAGCCGAGCCGTGAGGTCGGGATGCGATGTGCGAAAAATGGCGGGATGATTATCGATGCGATGATCGCGAGTGGTAACGGTGCTGACTGAGGTGCTACAGTGATGTACGCGTTGAGCAGGGATGCGAAGTAAGGAAAAGGGATTTTCCTTACATGTGGTTAGACGTCACTGGTAATCTGTTTCAATGTATAATCTGCGTAACACCAGTTTAATATTGCAGCGTGTAGCGGACCACAATTTCAGTATGGCTCCGTGACAATTGGACTGCCACTCGTCAGGCTTCCTCAAGCGTGACGTTTGCGCGAGTGGCCCGCAATATGGGAAGCCAATCAGCAGCGAGGACGACCTTTTCGCAAAATCCCGGTGAGCCACATCGCATGGCTATCCAGCAGCCGCGATACTTCAGAAGGATTGCGGCGACTCGAGACTCAACCACTCCAGCCACATCAATCCACGAACCCAATCCCAGGCACTACCTCAGAACTGGGTTGCAGTAATACATACATAAGGCACAAGCTTTCATTTCATCTCCAAGCTTCAGCAGCACTTCCAACACACACATTCTTTCCTGTTACTTACAAGCAGACAGAAATGGCTGCCCTCGCCAACGCTGCTGTTGCTCCCTCCACCTTCGTCGGTCAGAGCGCCGAGCTCGCCGCCAAGGTCAACAATGTGGAGGCTCGCGTCTCCATGAGGAAGACGGCCAAGGCCGTCCCCGCCAGCTCCTTCTACGGCCCCGACCGCCCCCAGTTCCTGGGCCCCTTCTCCTCCCCCCCGTCGTACCTGACCGGCGAGTATGCCGGTGACTACGGGTGGGACACCGCGGGTCTGTCCGCCGACCCCGAGACGTTCGCCAAGAACCGCGAGCTGGAGGTGATCCACGCCCGCTGGGCTCTTCTCGGCGCCCTGGGCTGCCTGACCCCCGAGCTCCTGGCGAACAACGGCGTTGAGTTCGGCGAGGCTGTGTGGTTCAAGGCCGGTGCTCAGATCTTCTCCGAGGGCGGCCTCGACTACCTCGGCAACCCGAGCCTGATCCACGCCCAGTCCATCCTGGCCATCTGGGCCACCCAGGTGATCCTGATGGGCGCCGTTGAGAGCTACCGCGTGGGTGGCCTCGAGGGCTTCCAGGAGGTTGAGGACCCCCTGTACCCCGGTGGTGCCTTCGACCCCCTGGGTCTGGCTGACGACCCCGACGCTCTCGCGGAGCTGAAGGTGAAGGAGCTGAAGAACGGCCGCCTCGCCATGGTGTCGATGTTCGGATTCTTCGTCCAGGCCATCGTGACCGGCAAGGGTCCCCTTGAGAACCTGTCCGACCACCTGGCTGACCCCACCGTGAACAACGCCTGGGCCTATGCCACCAACTTCACCCCCGGCCAGTAAATGCTTTGTCTTCTGAAAAAAATATTAATTTAGTTAAATGATTTTTCAAAATATCTTTATGCAACACCATCTCCGTCGAAATAATACCCGAACGAGAACGCATGCGGTAACCCCTCGGAAGTATGATCACAGTGTCCTTAACAGAGTTATTTGGATTCTGCACATAGCTCGGTTAATGACTGGCAAATTGCGACGGTTTCCTACATATTTATCTATTTATATCGCACTTGTGTGCCAGTTGTGGTAAGTCATTAGCAACAAATACGCTAGCTGGCAGATTTAAAATGTTGGGAGACGGGAATATAGAAAGGAAAGATGTGCAGGCAAGGAGAGGAGATCTGGAGATAATACGGTAATATGAGATGGGGAGGCAGGATTGTGATCCAGGGAGGTGGGAAGGGTATGCCGGAGTCAGGATAGAAGAGAGGGGAGGCCACGAAGGGGAGATGGTGGGGCGGCGAGGAGGGGGCGTGAGGCGGGAACAGAAGATGGAGAGGCAGGATGGGTTGATGAACATGCAGGGAAGGGAGATGGGGAGGCAGGAAAAGGAGATGGGGCAGGGGAGGGAGAGGAGGCGGCTTGATGCAGTGGTGGTGATTTGCAGTGAGACGATTCCACAAGGGGGGGCAAGGAACAGGGAGGGTCTACGGGGCACGGCGAGGCGGATCTGGAGGCTAGGCATGGCAGTTTGGGTAGGAAAAGTGTTGGAACTTGCACAGCAGGCTCTCTGATTGAAATTGGGCGGACGCACTTGTGTTCTCCTCTCTCACATCCGGCCTGCCTTAGCAGAATTGTGGAGTAGGTGGGAGAGCGGAAGAGGCGAGAATGCCGCGGCTGCGTAGGGGATGCGCCAGCCAATGGCCTAATGCTTTTCGCAAAATCATTTGACACACAAGTGAGGTGAGGGCCACTGCTGAAGCTTGTCGTTGTGAAGAGATTGGGTTAGGGATGTGATTATGTAACCAGCTTCAGCAATCGCCTAAGATTTGGCTCTAGCCCTGCCAAGTGTTTCTCTTTGTTCTATTTTCTATCATGAGAGCTCATTAGAGTTCTCTCTACGAGAATTGCTTGCTATTGCAAGCCGAGTACCCCAAGTTGTTACAAGATTTTCATATGAGCGACCGCTGTACCTGTGAGGGGGAAAGCCCGTTCCCGCCTTTCACAACCTTTTCCCGTGCCGCCTTGGTCTGGCTGGTTTGCTCTGGCAGAAAGAAACTGGCAGGGCAGCGACGAAGATTCTCCATTTCCGAGCCTGTCGTCCCAGACTCCTGGGCAAGGACAGAGCGCAAGCCGAGGGAGCTCGGTTCGGCAATGTCCATTTCGGCCGCGTTGGTCATTCCCTCACTTGCGAGGCGCATTCGACATTCAATCGGGCGACTCGAAGGTAAAGTCTGCCCCAGCTTGTCTGTGTCCTTCAATCGTACCCAAATTTTTCCATCTCACAAGATTTTCCGCACTCTTTCTACCTGTAAGGTCTCAGCAGAGGACTGTCTCGTGCTTCACAACCAACGAGCTAGCACTTCAGCGGAAAATAACATCTCTTTAGAGCCGCCCAGCGTCAGGGTCTCTCTGGGTGCCTCGTAGAATTCTCGTCCCTTGCGGCCATGGTCCAGCGTAGCTCGGTGGAGTAGCGAATGTTTGCAGGTTATTTTAGTTTAGAGCTCACGCCATGGAGCGGCGGCAGGTGCTGTGGGTGGCAATGGTGGTACCGGCGGTCCTCATGATTCTGTGCCGCGAAACGCTTTCGTGCGCCGCTCTTGATATATCCGGCGCGCAGCGCGGGATGCAGTTCGTCCGACTAAACCAGACCAACGTGTACCACGGGAAATGTTTAGACGGAAGGTACGGCTTCGATTTTTTTCCCACAATCTTGCGCATTTTGAGAAAACGCGACGACGCAGCAGAGTTTAGATAGACAGCAGATCAGCTCATCAGCACAAGAGCCGTGAGAGAGGCTACTGAAGCTGTAGAGCCTGTCGCCGAGCTCATCGCAACGCTGTCTGTACGACGTGCGAGCGTCGCAGCGAGATCCACAGCGACGCATCAACCAGCATCTGCTGCAATCTCATCATTCGCCCCATCTCTCCCCTCCTCTCGCCTTTCCTCCCCCCCCCTCCCCCTCCCCCGCCCTCTTCTCCCCCCTTCCATAAAAAATGGATCCTGTGCGCGCAGCGAGCCGGGGTACTACATTCGCAAGGGCAACAAGCGCGGCGCGCAGAACTGGGTCGTGCACCTCATGGTATGCTGACGTCATGTCCAGATCAGTTGCCTCGTCCAGTCGAGCCTCATTTCCGTGTAGTTTCGTTTCCTTGCCTCGCGCCGCATCCATCCTTCCACCTGTGAATTCGTCGGTTTCCGCCGCTTCTCATATCTGGGGCGCCTCGAGTAGAGGCTTTGCTTCCCAGTGCTACATTCTCCGCGTACGCCACATTCCATCTGTCCATTTATTATTTCGTCACGCATCGCACTCCTTCGTCAATCCACTCATCCATTCGCCACCCCGCTCATCCATTCGCCACCCCGCTCATCCATTCGCCACCCCGCTCATCCTTTCGCCACCCCGCTCATCCTTTCGCCACCCCGCTCATCCATTCGCCACCCCGCTCATCCATTCGCCACCCCGCTCATCCATTCGCCACTCGCATTCATTCGCCCCACCTCGCACCTCCCCCCCCTTCCTCCCGCCAGGGCGGAAGCTGGTGCACGTCGCGCAGCCAGTGCATGGTGCGCGCGCAGACCAGCCTCGGATCCACGCGCCCCTGGCCCGAACCTGGCTCCAAAAGCTTCTTCGCTAAAGTAAGTCCCGATACAGTTATAACCCTTCGGTGTGAAGCCGTTAGGGGTTTCAACGAGTTGTCGCCGTTCTCGTTACGGCAAGCTCCGATATGGTTTTGTGAGTAATCAAACAAGTGCTTGAGGGACCTGAGTTTAAATGACGCCGTGCGTGCGCGACGGTGGCGGTGCGTGTGCGCAGATGAACGAGTTCGGCGCGGGGTTCGCGGGCATTCTGAGCCGCAAGGGGCGCGAGAACCCCACCTTCAACGACTGGAACGCCGTGCTTGTCGTCTACTGCGACGGCGGACTCTACGCCGGCTCGCGCGGCGCCTACACCGCCAACCTGACGAGACCGTTCTTCATCGAAGGCCACGCCTCGCTCGCCAGCGTCATTCACGGTACGCCGCATTCGCGGTACACGCGTTGACCACTCTTTCGCGCGCCATCCCTCATTTCGTGGTACTCTTGCGTTTGCTGATCACTTCCCCATCCCCCTCCCCCCACACTCGCCCGCCATCCCCGCCGTGTCCGCGCGCAGACCTGCGGTTGCGCGGGCTGGGCTCGGCGCGCAACGTGCTGTTCAGCGGTTGCTCCGCGGGCGCGCAGGCCGTGGCGATGACGTGCGACGCCATGGCGCGCGCGCTGCCGTCCGCCTCCGTCAAGTGCCTCATGGACGCGGGATTCTTCCTCGGTACGCGCTGCTTGCCCTGATTGCTTGTCCCCTTTGCGTCTTGATGTGCCGCGCGCCATTCCCGCGCCCCTGGTGCCTCCGTCAAGTGCCTCATGGACGCGGGATTCTTCCTCGGTGCGTGTGTGCGTCATGCGTCGTGCGTCCTGCGTCATTCGTCGTGCGTCGTGCGTCATGCGTCGTGCCCTATTTCCCATAACCACCCGCCATGCCCACCACCCTCCACCACGCCCCGCGCAACAGACACGCCGGACATCCAGGGGCGGCTGACGTGGCGGCAGAGCGTGGAGCGGCTGTTCAAGTTCCACCGCATGGGGCTGGGCATTCCCCCCGCGTGCCGCCAAGGTCAGTGTGAGTGCGGGCACCAGTCCCATCCCCCCTGCGTGGGTCAGTGCGCGTGTGCGTTGTGGGTCAGTGTTCGTTGTGGGTCAGTGTGCGTGCGGGCGGCAGAGCGTGGAGCGGCTGTTCACGTTCCACCGCATGGGGCTGGGCACTCCCCCCGCCTGCCGCCAAGGTGCGTGTGCGCGTGGGTCATTGCGCGTGGTGGCACCAGTCCCATCTTCCCCGCATAGGTCAGTGCGCGTGCGGGCATGGCACTGCCATGGAGCGGAGCGTGGAGCGGCTGGCTGTTCAAGTTCCACCGCATGGGGCAGGGCATTCCCCCCGCGTGCCGCCAAGGTGTGTGTGCAAGGTCGCATCACAGGGCATTCAGTCGGTCGGACTGCTGCATTGCTCCTGTGCATTTCCCTACTCCTTTCTTCTTTTGACAACTCTCATACGAGGCTCTTCAAGTTTCACCACATGGGGCGGGCGTACCGCCCGCCTGCGGGCAAGGTCAGTGTGCGCGTGGGTGGGAACCCATTGACTTCTGAGTCGACTCAAAAGTCACCCCGCCCGCCTGCCCGCAAGGTGAGTGCACGCGTGGGTGGGAACCCATCGTCGAGTCATCTCGCATGGGGCTAGGCTTTCAACTCTCGCCTCCCCTCCACTCTCCATCGTTCCCTTCTATCCCCCCTGCACCTACCCAACCCCACACCGTCTCCTCCACCCACTCCCCCTCCCATCCCCCGCAGCGCACGTGCAGCCGCCATTGAAGTGTTTACTCACGAGTGCAACCCGCCCTTCCTCCGCTCGCTGCTGCTCGTCAACATTACCTTGCCTTACCCCACACCCTGCTTCTCTTCTCTCTCTCACACCCTCACGGCTCCTCCCCTCCTCCCCTCCTCCTCCCTTCGCATTCCCCTTCCTCCCCCCCCTCCCTTTTCCCCCACAGCACACGCGCAGCAGCCATGGAAGTGCGTGCTACCACAGTACAACCTGCCATTCCTGCGCACGCCACTCCTGGTGGTCAACAGCCTATAAGACGAGAGTCCCCCCTCCGGGCACTAGCTTTACCCCCCACGCCCGGCTTCCCCCACCTCTCTCCCTCTCTCACGGTTCCTTTCTTCCCTTCCTCTCTCTCTATCCCCTCCTCCCCTTCTCTCCCCCCTCTTCGTTTTCCTCTTTACCCCCTCCCGCAGCACACGCACATGAGCCATGAGAGTGCCTACTCCCGCAGCACACGCACATGAGCCATGAGAGTGCCTACTCCCGCATCACACGCACATGAGCCATGAGAGTGCCTACTCCCGCATCACACGCACATGAGCCATGAGAGTGCCTACTCCCGCAGCACACGCACATGAGCCATGAGAGTGCCTACTCCCGCAGCACACGCACATGAGCCATGAGAGTGCCTACTCCCGCAGTACAACCTACCCTTCCTGCGCACGCCTCTCATGGTGGTCACCAGCCTACAGGACGACATCGCCGTCAAGATGACCTTGCCTTACCCCCAAACCCCCACGCCCGGGTTCTCCCCCCCCCTTCTCTCTCCCATTCTCCCAGCCCCTCTCCTCATCCCTTATCTCTCCCATTTTCCCTTCCCCACACACAGCCCATGCAAAGGAGCCGTGGAAGTGCCTACTCCCGCAGTACAACCTGCCCTTCCTCCGCACGCCTCTCATGGTGGTCAACAGCCTACAGGACGAGATCGCCGTCAAAATGACCTTCGCGCCGCCCCTAATCAACGGCTCCGTGCGCATCCAAAAGTGCATGGACAACAGCCCGCTCTGCCCCGCACCCTACCGCACCGCACTCCACCTCTACCAGAGCCGGCTGGCGCGGACGGTGCTGGGGATACAGCGGGTGAAGCGGCAGCAGGGCGTGTGGTTCGAGTCGTTTCTGATGAACTCTACATCGCATTGCTCCGCGGTGTATGGGGAGTGGGTGGGCAAGGTGGACGTGCTGGGTAGGCAGCTGCCCAAGGTGGTGGAGCAGTGGTTCTTCCATGGGCGAAGTGGCAAGGCTGGGGGGGCGGGTGGGTTGGTGGGGAGTGGTGGCGTGAAACGAGGGGGGAATGGCACGGGGGCAGGTGGTGCAGGCGCGGGGGCGGGTGGTGTGGGGAAAGGTGGCGCGGGGGCGGGTCAAAGGGGGAACAAAGGGGGGTGGGCGGGAGGGAGGCCTATTCCCCGCCCACCGAAGGTCCCTGGCGTGCAAGCAGGCAGTGCAGGCGCGGGGAAGCTTCCCCCCAAGAGGGGGGCTGATAAGATGGGGGCGGGGGGAAGGCAGGGCGGAGAGAAGGGCGCGGGGGGGGCAGCAGGGAAGGGGCAGCAGCAGGGGGCAGGAAAGAGCGTTGCGAAACGGCCAGGGACAGCTATAGGGAGGGGGCCTGGAGTGGGGGCAGGGGCAGGGAAGGCACCGGGAGGGCAGAGAGGGCCTCTGTGGCCTGGTGTGAGGGGCGTTCGCGGTAAGGGGCGAGGTGGGCTGGCTCGGACAAGCAGTGAGGAGCAGATGGGTGGACTAACGCATAGAGGAAGGGGGGGGAAGAGTGGGAAGAGGAAGAAGGGGAAGGGCGGGAGGAAAGGAAGGAAGAGTGGGAAGAGGAGAGGAGGGAAGAGTGGGAGGAAAGGAGGAGGGAAGAGTGCGGGGAGGGGAGTAGGTAGCAAAGAGGGGGGAAGGCGGAGTGAGGTGCGAAACAGTGAAGCCAAAACGGTGAGAGTGACAGAGGAATGAGGAGGGAGGGAAAGGAATGTTGAGCCCAGAAACAGTTGAGTGGCCGAGCGGGTGTGAGGCGGCCACTGGGAATGAGGGTGAGGCAGAGCGAGGCACATAGCAGCGGACCTGAAAAGAGGATAGTGGGGGAGGAATGAAGGGGGAGGGGGAGGAATGAAGGGGGAGGGGGAGGAATGTTGAGCCCAGATACAGTGAGTGGCCGAGTGTGTGTGAGGCGGCCACTGAGAAACGAGGGGGGGGCAGAGCGAGGGAGGCACATGGCAGTGGACCAGAGAAGGTGACAGTGAAGTGACGGAGGACTGAGGGCGGGGGGGAGGAATGTTCAGCCCAGAAGCAGTTGAGTGGCCGAGCGGGTGTGAGGCGGCCACTGAGGAATGAGAGGGAGGAAGAGCAAGCGAGGTGCGCAGCAGTGGACCTTGGGATAGTCACGAAGGAGTGATGGGGGAAAGGAGGAATGAGGAGAAAGAACGAGTGTTAAGCCTCTAACATAACATTTCAGCTTCCTGGCGGGTGTGAGGCGGCTACCGAGTCACTCGTGCGTCGTGCGAGCAACCCGTGCTTCCCCCCACTGAACCTCCTGCTGCTCTGGGGGCGTGGAACATGACATACCCTGATTACACTCTTGGCAAAACAACCACTAAGGTTGAATTCAGATGCTTGGGGCAGTGTAGAGGTAGTGTACCGTACAGTAATCCACATGGTGTTGAGCAAGGCATGTATCCCTGTGCCTGAATTGTTAGTATACGCAAATTTGAAGTATGGTACAACTACCGTAACAGCACAAAACTCTGATTGGCAAGCAGCCGCAGTGAGTACCTACCATACCTTCAGACAATTCTCGAAACCAGCCATGACGAAAGCACCTTACAACCCCCTGTAGTTCCACCAGCAATACAATTGGCCGGTATGTGCGCCCAGCCCAACACCTAATAACACGCCTACCAAATAATAGCTACGAAGAAGCTACCTACTTATACACATTAAGTCCCTGTGGCTGGGGCAGCAGCAGCAGCAGCAGCAGCAGCGGGCAGGGCGGCGTGAATCGTCTTGTAGCACTGCAGGGAGCAGAGCGGCAGGTGGGTCTTGGAGTCGCGATAGCGGAAGGGAGTGTGGCACCCCGGCGCTGCACACAGGGGGCGAGGGGGCGGGCTGGGGGAAGAGGGGGCGGAAAGGGGGGAAGAGGGGGCGGAAAGGGGGGAAGCAAGCGGTTTAAGGTTGACGTTGGGTATCATGCAAGCTTGGCTCTGGATGCAAGAGGTGACTTTTGAGTCGACTCAAAAGTCGGTTGACGTTGGGTATCATGCAAGCTCCGCTCTGGATGCAAGAGGTCGAGGCTGTGGGCTTTTGGGGGGCAGCCGCACCGTGTGGCTTAGTGGGGGCGAATGAGGAGGGAGATTGAGAGTGGGATGTGATGGGCAGGCGGGATGGGAGCGGTGAGGGTGAGTGGCAGCGGACTGATAGAATGCAGCAGGCATTGTGAGTGACTCACAGGAACAGCGAGGCTCGGGGGGAGGGGGGGGGAGATGAAGGAAGATGCACCAAGGAAGGAAGATGCACCAAGGAAGGAAGATGCACCAAGGAAGATGCACCAAGGAAGATGCACCAAGGAAGGAAGATGCACCAAGGAAGATGCACCAAGGAAGGAAGATGCACCAAGGAAGATGCACCAAGGAAGATGCACCAAGGAAGATGCACCAAGGAAGGAAGATGCACCAAGGAAGATGCACCAAGGAAGGAAGATGCACCAAGGAAGATGCACCAAGGAAGATGCACCAAGGAAGGAAGATGCACCAAGGAAGATGCACCAAGGAAGGAAGATGCACCAAGGAAGATGCACCAAGGAAGATGCACCAAGGAAGGAAGATGCACCAAGGAAGATGCACCAAGGAAGGAAGATGCACCAAGGAAGATGCACCAAGGAAGATGCACCAAGGAAGGAAGATGCACCAAGGAAGATGCACCAAGGAAGATGCACCAAGGAAGGAGAACCACAGGGGCAGTCGGGGCTCACAGGAGGAGGGGGTTCACAGGGGCAGGGGGGGCTGGGGAGATGGCAGGGAATATAAAGACTCACAGGGGCAGGGGGGGCTGGGGAGATGGCAGGGAATATAAAGACTCACAGGGGCAGGGGGGGCTGGGGAGATGGCAGGGAATATAAAGACTCACAGGGGCAGGGGCCGCTGGGGGCGGAACATGAGGGGCTGTTGGGAGTCAGGTGACCATGCTACCATCACACCGTCTGCTGTGAAGCGCATGCGTACGAAGCCAGGTGGCGGCACCTGACTGGCTGCCAGGCGCTCCTGCACGTGTGGGAAAAGAATGCATGGAGACAGGCAGACCAGTAGAGAGATGTTACCAGCAGGCAGCAGCAGGAGCAACCCAGCAGATGGCAGGATAAACCCAGCGAAATCCACCTCACAACACAACCTCACACCCACGCTTCCCCCCCATTCCCTCATTCCCAGATGCTTGCTTACCCCCCTCCAACCATCCCCTCCACCCACCTCAGCCTCCTCCTGCCGCTTCTTCTGAATCTTCTGCTCCCTCCGCTTCCTCGACCCGTCCTGCCCGAGAATCTTCTGGATTGCGTTCTCCTGGACGGCGCGCGCTGCCCGCTCCGACTGCTGCTTGCGGCGCCGGGCAGCCTCCTCGCGCTTCAGCTGCCGCGCCGCCTCCACCTCCGCTGCCGCCCGGGCGGCGTGGGCGGCAGAGGACGGCGAGGAGGGTGCTGGGAGCTTCATGCTGCGCCGGCTGCGACGCGGGGCTGGGGGGGTTGGATGTGGGGGAGGGAGTGGGCGGAGAGAGGCGGAGGAGGAAGGGAAGAGGAGGGGGAGAAGGGAGTGCGGGAGGGTGAGGAGGGCGCTGGGAGCTTCATGCTGCGCCGGCTGCGACGCGGGGCTGGGGGGGCTGGGGGGGCTTGGGGGGGCTGGGGGGGCTGGGGGGGCTGGGGAGAGAAGGGAGAGAAGGGAGAGAAGGGAGAGAAGGGAGAGAAGGGAGAGAAGGGAGAGAAGGGAGAGAAGGGAGAGAAGGGAGAGAAGGGAGAGAAGGGAGAGAAGGGAGAGAAGGGAGAGAAGGGAGAGAAGGGAGAGAAGGGAGAGAAGGGAGAGAGGGAAGAGAAGGGAGAGAGGGAAGAGAAGGGAGAGAAGGGAGAGAAGGGAGAGAAGGGAGAGAAGGGAGAGAAGGGAGAGAAGGGAGAGAAGGGAGAGAAGGGAGAGAAGGGAGAGAGGGAAGAGAAGGGAGAGAAGGGAGAGAAGGGAGAGAAGGGAGAGAAGGGAGAGAAGGGAGAGAAGGGAGAGAAAGGAGGGAGGGAGAGAAGGGAGAGAAGGGAGAGAAGGGAGGGAGGGAGGAGGAATGCGAGAAGGGGGGAAGTTAGGGAGGCACAGGGTTCTTGAGGGGATCAGCAGATGGTGGCGAAATGGAGCAGGGGAGAGAGAAACAAATCGCGCACGTACTAGTTGCGTGATCTCCTTGTAACGAGTCACCTTGTAAGGGGTCCAAGGCGAAGTCATGGTGAGCAGCAGTGTCCCTTGGGCTCTCCTTGCCCGCTGCTGCTGCTGCTGCTGCTGCTGACGCCTCCCCCAGCTGCGACCCCCCCACTCTCATACACCACGTCACCCTCCCCCTCCTCCCCCTCGCCCTCCTCCGCGACCCCCACACTCTTCGCATCCCCCTCCTCCTCCTCTTCCTCCTCGTCCTCCTCACCCGCCTCCCCCGCCGCTTCCTCCTCTTCCTCCTCTCCTTCTCGTGCCTCAGGTGCTTCCTCCCCCCTTCCCTCCTCGCCCTCAATACCTTCCTCTACCACCTCCACCCCCTCCTCCTCACCTCCGCCTTCCTCCCTCACCCCTTCGTCAGCCTCCCTCCTCTCCTCCACTTTCAAATCCAGAATCCTCCTCCTCTTTCTCTTGGACCTTCCATTCCCCCCCTCACCCTCCTCCTCCACTTCCTCCTCCTCCTCGTCCCTCTCATCTTGTTCCTCCCTCTCTTCCTCCTCGCCCAGCTCCCCCACTGCTTTGTGTCGCGCACTTTCACCCTCACCCACCCCCCTCTCCTCCTCCTCCTCCCCTCTTGCTCTCTGCCCAACAGCACCACCACCATCCTCCTCTTCCTCTTCATCTGAGTTATCCTGTATGGTACCAGCAAAACGGAGGGAAGAAGCGGGGGCGAGAAGGAGAGGGAGGAGGAGAGAAGCGGGGGCGAGAAGGAGAGAGAGGAGGAGAGAAGCGGGGGCGAGAAGGAGAGAGAGGAGAGAAGCGGGGGCGAGAAGGAGAGAGAGGAGGAGAGAAGCGGGGGCGAGAAGGAGAGAGAGGAGGAGAGAAGCGGGGGCGAGAAGGAGAGAGAGGAGGAGAGAAGCGGGGGCGAGAAGGAGAGAGAGGAGGAGAGAAGCAGGGGCGAGAAGGAGAGAGAGGAGGAGAGAAGCGGGGGCGAGAAGGAGAGAGAGGAGGAGAGAAGCGGGGGCGAGAAGGAGAGAGAGGAGGAGAGAAGCGGGGGCGAGAAGGAGAGAGAGGAGGAGAGAAGCGGGGGCGAGAAGGAGAGAGAGGAGGAGAGAAGCGGGGGCGAGAAGGAGAGAGAGGAGGAGAGAAGCGGGGGCGAGAAGGAGAGAGAGGAGGAGAGAAGCAGGGGCGAGAAGGAGAGAGAGGAGGAGAGAAGCGGGGGCGAGAAGGAGAGAGAGGAGGAGAGAAGCTGGGACTAGAAGGAGAGAGAGGAGGAGAGAAGCGGGAGATGAGAGCAAGCAACCAGTGCAGTGTACGGGAATTTTGAGAATTCTCAGAAATCACAGGCAATAACGGCTGCAGCGCAAGCACGCACCCCAACACCCCATGCCCCCACGCAGCACGAGCAGCATAAGCACCATGCGCCAGACCCCACATCCTGCCTACACTTCCCAAGGGCGCCATTTCCCCATCCTACCCCCCCTCACCTGCAGAATGAGTCGGTGTCGCCTCTTCCTCTCCCCCCCTCCACTCTCCGCTCCCCCTGCTGCCCCTCCCCCCACAGCCCCGCCCCCCGCCCCCCCCGCCCTCCCCTTGGAGTGTGAGCGCGGCACCTTGAGCACTTGCGCGCCTGCAGAGGTATGGGGGGAGGGAGAAGCAAGGGGGGGGGGGGGGGGGGGAGGGGGGATGGTGGTAAAGAGGGGCATCAGAGGAGGACGTATGTACCAGCCCAGCCACTGCTCACCTTCTCTCACCTTCCTCTCTCACCTCTATCTCCTTCCTCTCTCACCTCTCTCTCTCCTCTGTTTGAGGTTGTTCCAAACTAAACTTCTCTGTCCACAGCTTTCCTGCCCACCCACCTGAAGAAGCACCTGACACCCACCTGAAGAAGCACCTGACACCCACCTGAAGAAGCACCTTACACCCTCCTGAAGAAGCAACTGACACCCACCCGAAGAAGCACCTGACACCCACCTGAAGAAGCACCTGACACTCACCTGAAGAAGCACCTGACACCCACCCGAAGAAGCACCTGACACCCACCCGAAGAAGCACCTGACACCCACCTGAAGAAGCACCTGACACCCACCTGAAGAAGCACCTGACACCCACCTGAAGAAGCACCTGACAGCTTCAACCGCAGTTTGTGCAGCCCAGCCTCCTGAGCCTCGCCAGCAGCCTCCTCCCCTCCCTTACCGCCCAGCCCATCCCCTGCCTTAGCCCCCAACCCATCTCCCTTAGCACCCAAACCCTCCCCTCCCCCCACCCCTCCCCCCACCCCGCCCCCCTCGCCTCCCTGAATCCCTTCCCCGCCACCCGCGCCCCCCTGCGCTCCCACCGCCGCGCCCACCCGCTCCTCGCGCCCTCGCGCGCCCGCCCTCTCGCGGCGCCTGTCACTGCGCTCGCCCTTGCCGCCCGTCAGCGCCTTGAGCGACTCCAGCCGCGCGCTCCGCCTCTCCCGCTCGCGCTCCCGCTCCTCCCGCTCCCGCTCCTCCCTCTCGCGCTCCTCCCGTTCTCTCTCCTCCCGCTCCCTGTCTTTCTCTCTGCCCCTCTCTTTATCCCTGTGCCGGTCCTTGCTCTTCCCTTTCTCCCTGTCACGTTCTCTGTCCCTCTCCCTGTGCCTCTCTCCATCCCGTTCCTTCTCCCCTTCCTTCTCACGCTCCCTCTCTTTGCGGCCCCTATCCCTATCCCTATCTCTATCTTTATCCCTATCCTTACCCCTATCCTTGTCCCTATCCCTATCCTTATGTCGATCCCGATCTTTCTCCCTATCTCTATCCCTATCTCTATCCCTATCCCTATCCCTGTCCCTCTCTCTATCCCTGTCCTTTCCTCTCTCCCGCCGATCGTCTTTCTCCCCATCATGCTCCCGATCCTTCCTTCTCTCCCGGTCGCTTCCGGACCTATCCCTCTCCTTCGGCCCGAACCTGTCTCCATCCTTGTCCCCCTCTCTGCCCCACTCCCTCTCGCGCTCCTTCCCCTCATCCCGCCTCCGCTTCCCCTCGCTCCGCCCTTCGCGCCCTTTCCCGTGCTCCTCCCTCCCCCTATCGCGCTCATCGCCGCTCGATCCGCTTCCCGCGGAGTGCGCGGGGGACTGATGATGGTGGTGATGGTGGTGATGGTGGCGGTGGTGGTGCCGCTCGTGCCCGTGTCGCGATCGTCGCTCGTCTCCGCGCGCCCGCCGCGCTGAATCGCGGCCCTCATCCGACTCCTCCATCCCCGCTACTACAAGCTACCGATACAGACAACGCCGAAAACTGACAAGCTCTCCTCCAGCTCGAATATCGGGAACGCTACATCCAGTAAAGGGGTGATCAAAGTACTGCACCAACTCAACGTCGAAGGATGTCGGTGAATCCTGACGGTTGGAACCGTTGATCCGAGGGTTGAAATTCACCGACGTTCCTCGACGTCGAGCTGGTGCACTACTTTGATCACCCCGTAAGGTTACTTTGCAGAGACTACTTGAGAATTGCATATTTGTAACAAATGGTGTTGAGGAGGAACCGACTTTAGATTCAGCGCATGTGCACCGAGAGGTACACCCTTTAGCGCGTATAGACCAGACGAAAGCCGTATTTCTGGCGAAATGTGAGTCTGGGTTGCAGTAACCGAAAGTTCCAGTTTTGGCAATAACGATTGGCCAATCAAGACGGCCGAATCAAAACGGCAAATCCTTCACAAATTCCTCGTGCAGTAACGACGTAACTAGCGATTCCCTTCTGACTTCGAAAACCGCTGCTGACGTTGACGTCGGGCAATTCTTTTGTCGTTGGTGGGTGGTAGGTGGCTCCCATGGCCAATACAACTGTGCACTGTAGAGTCGGCACTGTTTCCCAAATCCCAATGCCCGCACCGCACCGCACCCATGGAATTTGCCTGGGCGCAGGCATGCGGAGCGGAGCAGAGGCTACCTTCCCTCCCCTCCCCCTTTGTTCAAGCACACCCACCTCTGGTGCCACTAACCACAAGCACATGTAATTCCCACTAAATTATCTCCATATTCCAGGTTCTGGCTGATTATCGTCATTCTCTTGACAAATTTACTGCTTTCGTTCCCAGATTGTGAATCTGTTTTCACCGATACGAAAACCTTCTGCTTTCTTCTCCGCGTTCGCCTTACCTGTGACTGCACCTCCTCGCGGACTGCGCCACTCCGCGCACTGCGCCCCGGCGCGCGCATGACGACGCCATTCACATTCTCCCGATTCCACCTCCTCGTCGCCCTCCTGCTTCATGCCGCCCTCCTCTCCCACCATCTCGCGTCGGCCGCTATCGCCACCGTAGGCGGCCGCACAATAATTGGCGACGCAATCGTCGCAGGAACTTCGCACAGGCGACGATTAGAGGGCCCAATGGTGTCGCACGGTCTGTTCCACCGGCGGCTGTGGAACCCTTTCGGCGCTTTCAAGAAGCCCGTCAAGAAGCCGCCGCCTAAAAGCGGCGGCGCGGGCAAGCAGTCGGGTGAGCCACTGCGCCCTGCGCTAGCGCACGTGCGCCCCGCATTTCTGCCCTTTCGCTGCGTGTTTCCCAAGGAGCGGGACTCTCTCCTCTTCCCCCGCTTCCCATTTCCCGCTCATCCCGCTTTTCTCATTCCCCTCAGCTCATTCCCCTCCGCCCTTTCCCCTCCGCTCTTCCCTCTCCGCTCGCCACTCCCCTTCGGCCCGCCCGTCCGCGCTCGCTGCCACAGCCGCCGTGGCGTGCGAGGGCTTGCAGTGCCCGCAAGGCGCGGCGTGTGTCGCGGACAGCAACGGCTTTCCCTTCTGCAAGTGCGACGGGACCCTCGCGCTGATCAACGGCTCGTGTGTGCCAGGTGAGATCAACGGCTCATGCTCCCGATTCTTCTATCCCAAATTCCCCTATTCCTCTCAACAACCACCTCTCGCTCTTCCCCTGCATCCACCTCATTCCCCTTCCCCTTCCCCATCGCCCCTCCCCACCCCCTTTTCCCAACGGCCAGCCGTGGACGGGCAGGTGGTGGCAACAAGCGTGCTGCTGTTCGCCGCCGCCAATTTCTCCCCCGCGCCGCCCGCCGTGCTGCGCGGCGCCATCCCGAACCGCACATGCGTGAACCTACCCGCGTCGCACGCGGGCGCCATCGGGTCGCTGCGCATCCTGTGGAGCGTGAAGGACGGCAGCAGCGGCGCGAGCCGCGTGGTGTGCGGGAAGGTGTTCTTCTGGGACCAGCCGGATTGCTGCTGCTCGGGGTCGGGGTGGGAGGTGCCGGGCGGGTGGAAAGCCGCTAGTGCCGCCAAGACCAACTACGCGCCCACCAGCATTCAGTGAGCCCGCCGCATTCCGGCTGTGCTGCCTCCACACCACACTGGCGTGCTGCCCTGTACTTCCAGTGTGCCTCATGCCACCACCGTGTGCCTCATGCCACCACCGTGTGCCTCATGCCACCACCGTGTGCCTCATGCCACCACCGTGTGCCTCATGCCACCACCGTGTGCCTCATGCCACCACCGTAACCTGCTCTCCTCCTTCTCGCCTCCTTCGCCCACGTCCCTCTCCCTCGTCCCATCAGAGTGACGGGTGGAGTGGTGGCGGGAGCCAAGTCCATGTCGTGCCAGGCCTTTGCCGACCCTGCTAGCACCACGGAGCCCGGCACAGGCGTGCCCACCGGCAACACCGGGAGCTCCGGCAGCACTGGAAGCACTGGTAGCACGGGCGGCAGCACGGGCGGCAGCGGGGCGTGTAAGGAGACGGTGTGTCCGGCCAACTCCGTGTGTGTGGCCCAGGTCTCTGGCGCGACATGTAACTGCGTGGCTGGCTACGCCAAGGTCAACGGGCAGTGCCAGGGTGAGCAGCATTGGGGAGTAGAGTGGTTGGCAATGGTTGAGTTGGGTGGGGCATGGTGTGGATGCTGATAGCAGCGCCCTTCCCTCCCTCACCTGCTCCCCCGCCTCCCCGTCGCCCTCCCTCCCATGCCACCAGCGATGGACATCTGCTCAATCGTCTCCTGCCCAGCCAACTGCACCTGCTCCTCTTCCGCTGGCATTGCCAAGTGCTCCTGCCCAGGTGATTGCAACAGAGCCAGGTGCTCCAGCTCAGGTGATTATGGTTCATCCAGATGTTTCAAAGCACTGCTTTTCCCCAGGTGCTTATTAGTGTCCGGGTGATTACTCCTGCCACCTCTCTTCCTTGTCCCACCCGTCCTCATCCCTCCCGTTCTTCGCACCCCTTTCCACATCCCACCGCCCTCCCTCCCCCCCCCGTTCCCCTTTGCTCTTCGGACTGTTGGTACAGCGTGAAATGTCTGGACGTGTTTTGAGACGTCTCAAAAGGCATCCCACCCACCTCCCCCCCCCTCCCCCCCTCCGCTCTCCAGACCGATGCTACGGTGTCAAGTGTCCGGACGTGTCCACGTGTGTGGTGCAGAGCGGTACGCCGGTGTGCAAGTGCCCCGCGCCCTACACGCGGCTCATCGACGGAAAGTGCTCCTCTGCTGCCCTTCCCAACTCCGACTACCTCGATGTTCACAACAACGCCCGCGCTGCTGTGGGGGCCGTGCCTCTCGTGTGGGACGACACATGTGAGTGACGCATGCATGCGTGTGAGTGTGGGACGACACATGTGAGTGACGCATGCATGCGTGTGAGTGTGGGACGACACATGTGAGTGACGCATGCATGCGTGTGAGTGTGGGACGACACATGTGAGTGACGAATGCATGCGTGTGAGTGTGGGACGACACATGTGAGTGACGCATGCATGCGTGTGAGTGTGGGACGATGAGTGCATGGTTGTGCTGCTTCTCGGGCGACTGCAATCACCTCAACTAACGCCGTCTACCCTGCTCGTTCATTCATGTAAGAACCACTGTGCTTTTCTAAGCTCATGGCCCCTCCCCGCCCACCTCTTCCTCGCTTTGCTCTGCTCACCCGCAGTGGCTTCGCACGCGCTGGCGTGGGCGACAGCGCTGACCAACAGCACGTACAACTGCGGGCTGTCGCACGGCGGCAACAGCGGCGAGGGGCAGAACCTCTCGGGCGCCAGCCCCTCCGGCTGGGCCTCGAATGCAGCGGCGGCCAGCTGGTGGGTGAACGAGGGGCAGTGGTACACGGCTGCTGTGTTCCCCGACGGCTGTGAGGGCGGCAACTGGTGCAAGTGCGGGCACTACACGCAGGTGGTGTGGAACAACTCGCGGAAGCTGGGCTGTGCCAAGGCGTCGTGCGGCACGAGTGGGGACGTGTGGGCGTGCCACTACTACCCGCCCGGGAACTACGGCGGCCAGCGGCCCTACGGTGAGCACTCCACCCATTGCGCTGTGCTGTGCTGTGCGGTGCGGTGCTGTGCTCTGCTGTGCGGTGCTGTGCGGTACAGTGCGGTGTTGTGCTGTACTCATGGCCCATGGCTTCCTCTTTCTCATGGATCCCTTTTCTCTTCCTCCCCTTTCCTTGCCCCCCCCGGCAGTGCAAGACCCGTGCTTCAGGGTGCAGTGTCCGTCCACCGCCACGTGCTCAGCAGTGGACGGCAAGCCCGTGTGCGCCTGTGCTGCCGGCCAGGTGCTCGTCAACAACGCCCAGTGCCAGCCAGGTGCCGCCCCCGCCCCGCCCGCCTCCACACCCTCCTCCCACCCAAACACCCTCCTCCCACCCAAACACCCTCCTCCCACCCAAACACCCTCCTCCCACCCAAACACCCTCCTCCCACCCAAACACCCTCCTCCCACCCAAACACCCTCCTCCCACCCAAACACCCTCCTCCCACCCAAACACCCTCCTCCCACCCAAACACCCTCCTCCCAGCCAAACACCCTCCTCCCACCCAAACACCCTCCTCCCACCCAAACACCCTCCTCCCAGCCAAACACCCTCCTCCCACCCAAACACCCTCCTCCCACCCAAACACCCTCCTCCCACCCAAACACCCTCCTCCCACCCAAACACCCTCCTCCCACCCAAACACCCTCCTCCCACCCAAACACCCTCCTCCCACCCAAACACCCTCCTCCCACCCAAACACCCTCCTCCCACCCAAACACCCTCCTCCCACCCAAACACCCTCCTCCCACCCAAACACCCTCCTCCCACCCAAACACCCTCCTCCCACCCAAACACCCTCCTCCCACCCAAACACCCTCCTCCCACCCAAACACCCTCCTCCCACCCAAACACCCTCCTCCCACCCAAACACCCTCCTCCCACCCAAACACCCTCCTCCCACCCAAACACCCTCCTCCCACCCAAACACCCTCCTCCCACCCAAACACCCTCCTCCCACCCAAACACCCTCCTCCCACCCAAACACCCTCCTCCCACCCCAAACACCCTCCTCCCACCCAAACACCCTCCTCCCACCCAAACACCCTCCTCCCACCCAAACACCCTCCTCCCACCCAAACACCCTCCTCCCACCCAAACACCCTCCTCCCACCCAAACACCCTCCTCCCACCCAAACACCCTCCTCCCACCCAAACACCCTCCTCCCACCCAAACACCCTCCTCCCACCCAAACACCCTCCTCCCACCCAAACACCCTCCTCCCACCCAAACACCCTCCTCCCACCCAAACACCCTCCTCCCACCCAAACACCCTCCTCCCACCCAAACACCCTCCTCCCACCCAAACACCCTCCTCCCACCCAAACACCCTCCTCCCACCCAAACACCCTCCTCCCACCCAAACACCCTCCTCCCACCCAAACACCCTCCTCCCACCCAAACACCCTCCTCCCACCCAAACACCCTCCTCCCACCCAAACACCCTCCTCCCACCCAAACACCCTCCTCCCACCCAAACACCCTCCTCCCACCCAAACACCCTCCTCCCACCCAAACACCCTCCTCCCACCCAAACACCCTCCTCCCACCCAAACACCCTCCTCCCACCCAAACACCCCTCCTCCCACCCAAACACCCTCCTCCCACCCAAACACCCTCCTCCCACCCAAACACCCTCCTCCCACCCAAACACCCTCCTCCCACCCAAACACCCTCCTCTCCCACCCAAACACCCTCCTCCCACCCAAACACCCTCCTCCCACCCGGCATGCTGTCCCGCCCCACACCCGCCCCCACCCCATACATCCTCCCACCACGTGCCACCACTATCACTCCATCGCTTCCCTCATGCACCTTCTGTGTCCCCATCAGTTCCGTCGCTACGTCTCCCAGCAAGCCTTGACTCCCTCGCCACCAACCTTATGCTCTCCCAACCGTCCTCACGACCTCGTGCCCGCTTGCCATGCCACTCTCTCCCTTTTTCTCCCCTGCCAGACCCATGCAAGGGAGTGAGCTGCCCAGCGGGTGATCTGGTGTGTGACGGCAGCACCGGCACAGCGCAGTGTGTGTGCCCCAAGGGGCTGCTGCTCACCGCCCCCAACACCTGCCTGGGTAAGTGTGCTGTGCTGTGCTGTGCTGTGCTGTGATGTGCTGTGCTGTGCTGTGCTGTGCTGTGCTGTGCTGTGCCTCCTCAATGCCACCAGTTTCTCTCCTCGCCTGCACCCTGTCTCGCCCACTCGCTGCTGTGCTTCCTGTTTCGTCTTGCCTTCTCACCTTCACCATCCGCACCCCTCCTCGCTTTTCCCCGCCGCACCTCACTCCCTGTCACCCCTCTGCAGCGCCATCATGTGTGGGGGTGGAGTGCCCCTCAACGGCCCGCTGCAGAGCCACCAGCGGCAGCATCCCCTTCTGTGCCTGCCCCACCTCCTACTCCCTCGTCAACGGCACCTGCACTCAAGGTACTCAGTATTAACACATTCACTATAGCTCCCCTTCTGTAAGCCCTGTTAGCCCTGCCGCACTTGTCCTGCGCAACCACTCCATCCACAACATTTCTCTATTGCGCTTACCTGTTCCGACACTCCTATTCCCCTCCCTCCCCTCTCATCCGCCCCGCAGCTGCCCCCGCCACAGTGGCATCAAGCGTTGTTCTCTACAACGGGCCTTCCTTCACCAACTCGCCCGCCTCCCTCGCTCCCACCGTGCTGCGAGCCGCCACGCCCGGCGCCTCGGGAGCAGCGGGCTGCATCAACATCCCTTCATCCCTGGCAGGGGCGGTGGGGTCGCTGCAGATCCTCTGGGACGTGCCGGACGGGGCGGCGGGGGTGCGGCAGGTGTGCAAGCTGATGTGGTTCTGGAACGGGGCCAACTGCTATGGCCACGCCACCGGGTGGGGGCGTCCCGGCAACAACGTCACAACTGCTGCGTGAGTTCCTGTTGCATGTGCTTCTGCCGCTGCGGCTTCTTCCCCTGTGCTTTCCCTTCCACCATCCCCTGAGCGTGTCCCTGGATACCCTTTGTAGAGTGATTCGCTGATAGCTGTTTGCTGCTGTCTGCTTGTGCTCTGCAGGTCAACTAGTGGTGACGTGGCAGCACTGCGAGCCATCAGCTGCTCGGCTTGAGGAAGAGACGAGCAGCACTGACTTGCAGAGCAGAGCAGAGCAGTGACTGGGTTCCAAAGCAGAGCAGTCTCGAGGCTTGGACTTAGAATCCAGAATTTTGTGACGTGGACCTCATTCTTTCCATTTATTGTAATTTATATCCATACTTGCATTTGCTTTATAATTTATTGAATATACAGCACGAACAATTGAGTTTGGGGCAATTGAATCTGCGTTTGTTGAACTGTAGCATGCCTTTCGATTGTTTTCAGCCTCTCCGGGGGTCAAATAGGTATGGTCTATCCACTCCCGAGCGTGGAAAAGTGCAGCACATTTATTAGATGTTGACAAACTAGGCCAGTACAAGCACAAGTGCTCTAAGCAGTATCCACACGGTCAGTAGCGAGTTCATATAACAGCTTGAGTCACTTAAGGTTTGCCGGTGTATGGTGTCTGTCTGTTTGCATCAAACGCGCCAGCCTTTAGCGGATGTAACGTGAGAGGGGAAGGTCTGATCTCTGGTGCTGAAAGCCTGGTCTGATGGAGCAGTGTTGTGGAGTGCCTGAAACAATCGGAAATGAATTGGTGGCCCGTAGCCTCGTTCACAAATGGCGAGCCGCCGGAAGATTATCTTCAGATTCTTGTGACGTCAGCGGACCGATTTCCATTTCAACATTTGGCTGAAATTATGGCTGTAACGTTTATGTTGAATGTGTACGGTTCTTGCTGTTGACACGCTTAAGTCTTGTCTTTTCTTTACGTGGTCTGTGTGATGTCATCTCGTTCGTCGATATTTCTTCCACAAGTTATCGTACGAACGACATTTCGAGATTCCTTTCACACAGTTGTTATTACTGTGCAGGTTGCCCCTTTCTAGTGAAGTGAGGTTCGGATCAGAACCTAGGCTCGCGGCTCGGGCCTCCATCCTGTGTGTGGTGTCGTGTTCCATCCATCCATCCCAGTAATCCATACGAATTGTAGTAATCGCCGAGGGAAGTCAGGGCTATTTATCCTGATTTAGAGATGGTTATTCAACACCCTGATTAAATAGACTTAAGCGACGAGACTCCCTGGCACAGACTTAGTCTGGATCGCCCTGCATTTGCAGATATGGAGCCTTGCGGGTTTCGAGCGCGACAAATGCTAACGTCTGGTGTCTCAAACCTCTTTCGATCCCACACATTCTCCCTGGAATCAAGACATCGGACCCATGAAATCAAGAAACTCATCACAAGACCTAACACACTGCCACAGTCTCCGAGAAATCGACCATGCCAGTTAACAATATGAAAACAACACCAGAGACCCTGCTGTGACAGGGTGAACCTAGGTCGCAACTCGGATCTGGCAGGGTTCCTCAAAACACATCCGGAACCCTAAATGTAGATTCTTTCAAATCCCCTCCCTCTATTACCTACCGTTCACTCAACACACGCGGCACACCACTGAGGCCACTCCTACCTCTGCCTGCCTCATTCCCATAGTTATCTTGCGGCATTTAACCATGGCAAAGCTGCTCTGGTCTCACCAATTCAGGAAGCTTTTGCCTTTCTTCTTCTTTCCCGCGTCTCCACCATCTGCGCTTTCCCGCAAACGTCGCCTCCCCGCAAATAGCGCTACTCCCATCACTCCCCCTGTGCGCGCGCATGACGACTCCATTCGCACCCACCCGCCTCCCCTTCCTCCTCCCCCTTCTCCTCGCCCTTTTGCTTCATTCCGCCCTCCTCTCCGAACACCCCGCGTCGGCCACTCTCGCCATCGACCGTCGCTCAACATTCGGCGACGCGATTGTCGCAATTAGGTCGCACATGCGATGGTTACTAGAGGGTCCTGCGACGGTGTCGCACGGTCCGTTCCATCGGCGGCTTATAAAGCTGTTAGCGAAGAAGCCCCCGGCGCCGCCTAAGCTTCCGCCTGGTGAGCCACCGTCGATAACGGCACGTACGCCGCGTTCGATCCCGTGTGTTCCCCGCCCGCCCCCCATCATGCTTTCAAAGGATGAACGCAGATGTGTGCTGTACTAGTGACTCGCTGCACCCCCCTTCTTCCCCCGCCCCCCCCACCTCCTCCCCTCCCCACCCCCCCCCCTCTCCCCACTCTCCTCCCCCCACCTCACCGCCCCCCTCCCCTCCGAGGGGTCCCCCCCCCCCCCCCCCTCCTCTCCCGTTTCCGAAGGAATGCGAATTTCCCGCTCCGAGATCCCTTGAGTCATTCCGCTCTCATCCCATCCGCGCTCATCCCCCTCCTCTCCCCGCTCCGCCCTTCCGTCCGCCTGTCCGCGCCCGCCCGGGGTCGCCACAGCCGTCGTGGCGTGCATGAACGTGTCGTGCCCGCAGGACGCGGCGTGCGCCGTGGACGGCAGCAACTTCCCCTTCTGCAAGTGCAACGGGACCCTCGCGCTGATCAACGGCGCGTGTGTGCCAGGTGAGATCAATGGCTCGTGTGTGCCAGGGTGAGATCAACGGCTCGTGTGTGCCAGGTGAGATCAATGGCTCGTGTGTGCTCGTGTGTGCCAGGTGAGATCAATGGCTCGTGTGTGCCAGGGTGAGATCAACGGCTCGTGTGTGCCAGGGTGAGTGAGATCAACGGCTCGTGTGTGCCAGGGTGAGATCAATGGCTCAGCTCCCAATGCTGACTCCAAGATTTTTTTTTTTTTTTTTTTTTTTTTGGGCTTTAAGGAGATCCCCGGAGGAACCCAGGCCCCCGTAGGGGTAGGCGCTTCGGTACTGGCTCCAAGATGATCTTGCGCTCCGGCGCTTCTCTCGCTCTCGCCTGACCCTGCCCCATTCTGTCTTCGTCGCCTGCATCCGCCCTCCCCTCCCCTTCCCTTCCCCTTCACCCCCCTCCACTCCCCTTCCACTCCCCCCTCCCCCCCTCCGCCCTTCCGCTCTTTCCCCCCCCTCTCTCCCCCCCCCCACCCCCCCTCTCCCCCCGGCCAGCCGTGGACGGGCAGGTGGTGGTGACGAGCGTGCTGCTATTCGCTACCGCCAAGTACGCTCCCGCGCCGCCCGCCGTGCTGCGCGGCGCCATCCCCAACCGCACCTGCGTGAACCTGCCCACGCCGCGCGCGGGTGCCGTGGGGTCGCTGCGCATCCTGTGGAGTGTGAAGGACGGCAGCAGCGGCGCGAGCCGCGTGATGTGCGGGAAGGTGCTGTTCTGGAACCAGAGCGACTGCAGCGGCTCTTCGTCGGCCTTTGAGGTGCCGGGCGGGTGGAAGAAGGCTGATGCGGCCAAGACCACCTACGCCGCCACCAGCAAGTGAGTGACCACCTACGCCGCCACCAGCAAGTGAGTGACCACCTACGCCGCCACCAGCAAGTGAGTGACCACCTACGCCGCCACCAGCAAGTGAGTGACCACCTACGCCGCCACCAGCAAGTGAGTGACCACCTACGCCGCCACCAGCAAGTGAGTGACCACCTACGCCGCCACCAGCAAGTGAGTGACCACCTACGCCGCCACCAGCAAGTGAGTGACCACCTACGCCGCCACCAGCAAGTGAGTGACCACCTACGCCGCCACCAGCAAGTGAGTGACCACCTACGCCGCCACCAGCAAGTGAGTGACCACCTACGCCGCCACCAGCAAGTGAGTGACCACCTACGCCGCCACCAGCAAGTGAGTGACCACCTACGCCGCCACCAGCAAGTGAGTGACCACCTACGCCGCCACCAGCAAGTGAGTGACCACCTACGCCGCCACCAGCAAGTGAGTGACCACCTACGCCGCCACCAGCAAGTGAGTGACCACCTACGCTGCCACCAGCAAGTGAGTGAGCGTGCAGCGGCACTCGGTGACCAACTATTGCGTTGACGTTTCAGCCTGGGATTCCACTTGGTCATCCCTCCCAACACCTCCCAACACCTTCCAGCTATTATTTTCAAATAGGTTTGAAAAGCGTCAAAGGTCAACTGAAGGTGAGTGTGCAGCATTCAGCTGTTGTGCGTCTTCTGTTGCCCTGTGCCCCCTCTGTACCCATGCCATTGCCCTGTGCCCCCTCTGTACCCATGCCATTGCTTCTCTCCTCCGTGCGCCCGTGTGTCCACCGTGCCCCGTCCACCAGGGTGGCAGCGGGAGTGGTGCTGAAAGCGCAGTCCATGTCGTGCCTCACCGCCATCGCCCCCAAAGGTACTTTCGTAGCACGCCCAGCACGGGTGGTGGCAGTGGGGCGTGTGAGACGGCGTGCCCGGCCAACTCGGTTTGTGTGGGGGAGGGCACTGGGGCCACGTGTAACTGCGTGGTTGGCTACACCAAGGTCAACGGGCAGTGCCAGGGTGAGCAGCACGGGTCCTTCTCTTGTCTTCATTCGCCCCTTTGCTCGTCTCAATTCTTCCCCCGACATCCATTTACCTGTGCCACGTCCGTTTCCCCACCCCCCCTTCCCCTTCACGCCCCCCACCAGCGAGAGACATCTGTTTAAACGTCACCTGCCCGGCCAAATGCAACTGCTCCTCTTCCGCTGGCGTTCCCAAGTGCTCCTGCCCAGGTGATTGCAACAGAGCCGAGTGTTCCTGCTCAGGTAGTTGCAACATCGCTAAGTGCTCCTGCTCAGGTGATTGCTACAGTGCCAGTGCTCCTGCTCAGGTGATTGCTACAGTGCCAGTGCTCCTGCTCAGGTGATTGCTACAGTGCCAGTTCTCCTGCTCAGGTGATTGCTACAGTGCCAGTTCTCCTGGTCAGGCAGTAGCAACAGTGCCAAGTCCTCTTTCACACCCCTTCTCCTCACACCCCTGCCCGTGCTCTTTCACAGGTCCTTCTCTTGTTCTCATTCGCCCCATTGCTCGTCTCTATTTGTCTCCCATCATCCATTCACCCCTGCCTTCCTGCTCCTTTCACTCCCTCTCCCGCCACCCGTTTCCCCAACCCCCCTTTGCCCATTGATCCCCCTCCACACCAGTGGTGGACATGTGTAAGATTGTCACCTGCCCCACCAACTGCAACTGCTCCTCTTCTGCCGGCATTGCCAAGTGCTCCTGCCCAGGTGATTGCAACAGTGCCAACTGCTCCTGGCCAGGTGATTGCTACAGAGCCGAGTGTTTCTGCTCAGGTGATTGCAACAGAGTCGAATGTTCCTGCTCATGTGATTGCAACAAAGGCGAGAGTTCCTGCTCATGTGATTGCAACAGAGACGAGAGTTCCTGGTCATGTGATTGCAACAGAGGCGAGAGTTCCTGGTCATGTGATTGCAACAGAGGCGAGAGTTCCTGCCCAGGTGATTTCTACAGTGCCAGTTCAGTTCTCCTGGTCAGGAAGTAGCAACAGTGCCAATTGCTCTTTCACACCCCTTCCTCCGTATCCCTCCCCCGCACCCCCCCCCCCCTTTTTCAGACGCATGCTACGGGGTCAAGTGTCCGGACGTGGCCACGTGTGTGGTGAAGAGCGGTACAGCGGTGTGCCAGTGCCCCGCACCATTCGCACGTCTCATTGACAGCGTGTGCTCCTCGGCCAACCTGGCCCACTCTGAATACCTCGACGTTCACAACAACGCCCGCGCTGCGGTGGGGGCCGTGCCTCTCGTGTGGGATGACACATGTGAGTGAGAGTGAGTGAGCTTCTTTCTTCCATCCCATCGTCAGCCTGCCTCCCCATGCTTGATGCCCCCTGTGCTGGCTGTGTAGGAGGGACAGCAGAGCGATGTATGCATGCATGCATGGTTGCGCTTTCCTCTCGTGCGACTGCCTCTCGCCGGGACAGGCAATGCACATGCCATGCCCATCTCATTCCACCACCACCATGCATCGCCCCTCCTCTCCTGCTCCTCACCTCTCCTCTCGTTCCCCCCTCTGCCTGTCCCCCCAGTGGCGGCGCACGCGCAGGCATGGGCGACAGCGCTGACCAACGCGTCCTACAACTGCAGCATCGTGCACGGCGGGCATGACGGCGAGGGGCAGAACCTCGCCGGCGCCAGCCCGGCGGGGGTCAAGAATGGCTCAGATGCGTCGGGATGGTGGGTGAACGAGGGGCAGTGGTATACGGTGGATGTCCACCCCAACGGCTGTGCGGGCGGCAACTGGGCCAAGTGTGGGCACTACACGCAGGTCATTTGGAACGGCACGCGCACGCTGGGGTGTGCCAAGGCGTCGTGTGGCACGGGGTCAGACGTGTGGGCGTGCCATTACTACCCGCCGGGGAACGTCCGCGGCCTGCCGCCTTATGGTAACCACCCTGCTCCTCACGCCCCTCACGCCCCTCAAACCCCTCAACGCTCCATCCCTTGCCCCATCCCCTCCCCATGCCTCCTTCTGTGCCTTTTTTGGTTAGCTTCGGCTGCCCTGTGCTGCTGGTGACTGCGCCGTTGTGCTGTGATGCTTCAATCCTCTGTTTTTCCAGCCCATCCTTGCAACCGAGCTGCTCAGCAGTGCTTTGCGGTGCTGTGTGGTGCTGTAATTTCGGCCCAGCAGCCGTCTGTACTCTACTCCTTCACCCTTCACACGCTTCACTCTATCTTTCTCCTTCCGTCCCCTCCCTTCTCCACCCCCCCTCGCCATCACCATGACCTCCCCCGGCAGTGCAAGACCCGTGCTTCAGAGTGCAGTGTCCGTCCACCTCCACGTGCTCAGCAGTGGACGGCAAGCCCGTGTGCGTGTGTGGAGTGGGCCAGGCGCTCGTCAACAGCTCGCAGTGCCTTCCAGGTGCGCACCTGCCCCCGGCACCCCTTCTTCTTCTATCTGCCCCTCCCATGCACCTCCCATGCACCTCCCATGCACCGCCCATGCACCTCCCATCACATGTCTCCACCTCCTCCTCTCGATGTTTCTCCATCTCCCGTCCCGCCTTCACTCCCTCACCACCTACCCTCTCATCGCGTGCCTCCCCTTCTTCCCCTTTTTTCCTCTCTTCCTCCCCCCACCCCCAACACCCCCGCCCTCGCCCAGACCCGTGCATAGGGGTGAGCTGTCCGGCGGGCGACCTGGTGTGTGACACCAGCACCGGCACGGCGCAGTGCGTCTGCCCCAAGGGGACGCTGCTCGTTGCCCCCAACATGTGCCTCGGTGAGTGTACTCCCACCCCGGCTTCATCACCTTCACCATCAAACCCTTGTGCTTCATCCTCACCCTTCCTCACCCCTCCTGACCCCTCCTCACCCCTCCTCACCCTTCTCCTCACTCGCTATCACCGCTTGTCAGCCCTCGTCACCTGTCCACAACCCACTGCACCCCTCCACAACCTTTCTCCCTCCTTCTCACCCCTTGTCACCCCTCTGCAGCGCCGGTATGTGTGGGGGTGCAGTGCCCCTCCACATCTCGCTGCAGAGCCACCAAAGATGACATCCCCTTCTGTGCTTGCCCTGATTGCTCCTCCCTCGTCAACGGAACCTGCACTCAAGGTACTCGTTCTTAGCAAATCCGCTATAGCTTCTTACCATCAGCTCACACACATGCACTGTCCCGATTCATGGCTAACAAGCACTGTAAGCCCTGCTGACCTCCTCTCACCGAGCGCTGTTATTTTTTGCACTCACCTTCGACACTCTCGTCCGTGATCTCTCCCTCCCTCCCATTTTCTAACTATGGCCGTTTCTCCCTCTCTTCCTCCCTCCCTCCCTTTTCCCTTTTGTCCGTTTCTCCCTCGCTCCCTCCCGCCCTCCCTCCCTCCCGCTCTCCTTCCCTCCCTCCCTTCCTCTCTCCCTCTTTCCATGCCTCCCTCCCTCTCCTTTCTCCCTCCCTCTCTCCTCGTCCCACAGCGGCCCCTGCCACAGTGACAACCAGCCTGGTGGTTTACAACGCGCCCAACTTCACCAACTCACCCGTCTCCCTCGCGCCTGTCGTGTTCCGAGCCACCACGCCCGACGTGGGCTGCGTGAACGTGCCGGCAGGCTTCGCAGGGGCGGCGGGATCGATCAAAATCGTGTGGGACGTGCCGGACGGGGCGGCGGGGGTGAGGCAGGTGTGCAAGCTGATGTGGTTCAACAACGGCACCGACTGCGCTGGCTGGTCCAGCGGCTGGTGGAAACCCGACAGCGGAGTCACAACCTTTGCGTGAGTCACAACCTTTGCGTCAGTACCTACTGCCTGCGCTTCTGCCTTTGCAGCCTCCCCTCCCCTATGCTTGCCTCTCCACCGCCCCTCGAGCTTGCCGTTGTATACCCTTTATTCAGTGATCCACTGACTGCCGTTTGCTGCTGTCTGCTTGTGGTTGTGTTGTGCTCTGCAGGACCACGAGTGGTAACTTTGCAGCAGTGAGATCCATCGCCTGCTCCGGCAGCACAGACAGCACATACGGCACGGGCGGCACCTGCAGTACGGGCGGCACAGGCAGCACGGGCGGCACCGGCAGCACGGGCGGCACCGGCAGCACGGGCGGCACAGGCGGCACCGGCAGCACCGACAGCACGGGCGGCACTAGCAGCACGGGCGGCACGGGCAGCACGGGCACCACGGACGGCACCGGCAGCACGGGCGGCACAGGCAGTACCGGCAGCACCGGCAGTACGGGCAGCACAGGCGGCACCGGCAGCACCGACAGCACGGGCGGCACTGGCAGCACGGGCGGCACAGGCGGCACGGGCAGCACGGACGGCACCAGCAGCACGGGCGGCACGGGCAGTACCGGCAGCACCGGCAGCACGGGCGGCACTAACAGCACTGGCAGCACAGGTGAGAGTGGCAGCAGTGGTAGTTGAGGCAGCACGGGCAGCTGGGGCGGTGGCAGTGGGGTGTGTGCACCGGCATGTCCGACCAACTCCGTGTGTGTGGAGGAGGGCACTGATGCCACATGTAACTACGTACACGGGGCGGGGTGCGAGGGGGAACACCATCCGTATTCTGTTCATCCTCATTCGCCCTTCCTTTGCCTCGTCTCTTCCATCATACGCACCTGTACCTTCACTCTTCCTTCACTCCCTCCTCCCCCCACCCTTCCCAACCTAGCTTCCACCTGCCACCCATTCCCACCACACCTTCTCTCCCACTTCCCCTCCCACCAGAGGTGGACATGTGTACAATCGTCACCTGCCCCACCAACTGCACCTGCTCCTCTTCTGCTGGCATCGCCAAGTGCGCCTGCCCAGGTGATTAAGGTTCAGTCAAATGTTCCACATTGCTGTGCTCACTACATGCTTACTGGTGCTAACTTGTGTACACGAGTCTAGTCCTGCCAGTTTCCTTCCTCGTCCCCCCCTTCCTCGCCCCTCTTCCACACATCTCCTCCCGTACCCCACCCTCCACCCACCCTCTCTCCCCTCCACTCAGACCCGTGCTACGGAGTCAAGTGTCCCGACGTGGCCACGTGTGTGGAGCAGAGCGGTACGCCCGTGTGCAAGTGCCCCGCGCCCTACGCGCGCCTGATCGACGGAAAGTGCTCCTCGGCCGACCTCCCTCACTCCGACTACCTCGATATGCACAACAACGCCCGCGCTGCTGTGGGGGGCGTGCCTCTCGTGTGGGATGACTCATGTGAGTGTGGGTGGTGCATGCGAGTGCCGTTGAGAGGAGAGTGATGCATGCATGCATGCATATTAGTGTGGGACGGCACATGTGAGTTGTGAGGGAGAGAGACGCATGAGTGCATTCACAAATGGTGTGACTAGCACTTGTGCTTCCGCCGTTTGTGTGGGATGACGCATTTGAGTGCTAGTGAGAGGAGAGTGATGCATGGGTGCATGCATGGGTGATGCATGTATGATCTATGGGTGATGCATGGGTGTATGCATGGCTGCATGCATGGGTGCGCGCACGACGGTTGTGCTTTCCACTCGTGCCACTGTCGCTTGTGCCACGGTCGCTTGTGCCACTGTCGCTTGTGCCACTGTCGCTTGTGCCACTGTCGCTTGTGCCACTGTCGCTTGTGCCACTGTCGCTTGTGCCACTGTCGCTTGTGCCACTGTCGCTTGTGCCAATGTCGCTTGTGCCACCGTCGCTTGTGCCACCGTCGCTTGTGCCACCGTCGCTTGTGCCACTGTCGCTTGTGTCACGGTCGCTTGTGCCACGGTCGCTTGTGCCACTGTCGCTTGTGCCACTGTCGCTTGTGCCACCGTCGCTTGTGCCACTGTCGCTTGTGCCACTGTCGCTTGTGCCAATGTCGCTTGTGCCATCGTCGCTTGTGCCACCGTCGCTTGTGCCACCGTCGCTTGTGCCACCGTCGCTTGTGCCACCGTCGCTTGTGCCACCGTCGCTTGTGCCACTGTCGCTTGTGCCACCGTCGCCTGTGCCACTGTCGCTCGTGCCACTGTCGCTTGTGCCACTGTCGCTTGTGCCACTGTCGCTTGTGCCACTGTCGCTTGTGCCACCGTCGCTTGTGCCACTGTCGCTTGTGTCACGGTCGCTTGTGCCACTGTCGCTTGTGCCACGGTCGCTTGTGCCACTGTCGCTTGTGCCACTGTCGCTTGTGCCACTGTCGCTTGTGCCACTGTCGCTTGTGCCAATGTCGCTTGTGCCATCGTCGCTTGTGCCACCGCCGCTTGTGCCACCGTCGCTTGTGCCACCGTCGCTTGTGCCACCGTCGCTTGTGCCACCGTCGCTTGTGCCACTGTCGCTTGTGCCACCGTCGCCTGTGCCACCGTCGCTTGTGCCACTGTCGCTTGTGCCACTGTCGCTTGTGCCACCGTCGCTTGTGCCACCGTCGCTTGTGCCACCGTCGCTTGTGCCACCGTCGCTTGTGCCACCGTCGCTTGTGCCACCGTCGCTTGTGCCACCGTCGCTTGTGCCACCGTCGCTTGTGCCACTGTCGCTTGTGCCACTGTCGCTTGTGCCACCGTCGCTTGTGCCACTGTCGCTTGTGCCACTGTCGCTTGTGCCACTGTCGCTTGTGCCACTGTCGCTTGTGCCACTGTCGCTTGTGCCACTGTCGCTTGTGCCACTGTCGCTTGTGCCACTGTCGCTCGTGCCACTGTCGCTCGTGCCACTGTCGCTCGTGCCACTGTTGCTTGTGCCACTGTCGCTTGTGCCACTGTCGCTTGTGCCACCGTCGCTTGTGCCACCGTCGCTTGTGCCACCGTCGCTTGTGCCACCGTCGCTTGTGCCACCGTCGCTTGTGCCACCGTCGCTTGTGCCACCGTCGCTTGTGCCACCGTCGCTTGTGCCACCGTCGCGTGTGCCACCGTCGCTTGTGCCACCGTCGCTTGTGCCACCGTCGCTTGTGCCACTGTCGCTTGTGCCACTGTCGCTTGTGCCACTGTCGCTTGTGCCACTGTCGCTTGTGCCACTGTCGCTTGTGCCACTGTCGCTTGTGCCACTGCCTCTCAGGGAGCAGGAGGTGTATGTGTCATCTCATCACGCTCGCCCACCACCATGCATCTCATCCCATGCCCTCGCCTCGCCGCGCCTCTCTGCGCTTCTCCTTGCCTCTCCTTGCCTCTCCTCACCTCGCCTCTCCTCTCCTCTCCTTTCCTCGCCTCGCCACTCCTCTATTCCCCTTGTCTCTCCCCTTTTCCCCCCAGTGGCGGCGCACGCGCAGGCATGGGCGACAGCGCTGACCAACTCCTCTTACAACTGCTCCCTCGTGCACGGCGGGCATGACGGAGAGGGGCAGAACCTCGCAGGAGGCAGTCCCTCGGGGCAGCTGACGAATGGAGCAGCAGCGCAGCTGTGGGTGAACGAGGGGCAGTGGTACTCCGTGGCCGTTTTCCCTGATGGCTGTGCGGGCGGCCAGTGGGAAAAGTGTGGGCACTACACGCAGGTCATTTGGAACGACACGCTCTCGGTGGGGTGTGGCAAGGCATCGTGCGGCACGAGTGGGGACGTGTGGGCGTGCCATTACTACCCGCCAGGCAACTACGGCGGTCAACTACCCTATGGTGAGCTTCCTGCTCCTCAAGCCCCTCAAGCCCCTCAACGCTCAATCCATTTTCACCTTCACACACGCCTTGCCCCATCCCCATGCCTATTCACATGCCTTGCCTCGGTGGCATCATCTGAGCTCCCACCTTTCATCTGGTCACCAGATGCCCTACGGTGGGTACACCATTGTGCACCGCTGTCAGCATGAACAAGAGTAACCTTTCAGCGCCTGTTTCCCAACTTAGAACCCGTGTGAACCAAGTCGCTCTGCTGTGCTGTGTAGTGCGGTGCAGTTCGGTGCTGTGCTGTACTAATGGCCCATGGCCTGTACTCTACGCCCTTGCCCTTCCAACCTGCACCTCTCTCAGCACACCGCATTCCACACCTCCCTTTTCCACCCAACCCCCACCGTCACCTCCCTGGCAGTGCAAGACCCGTGCTTCAGAGTGCAGTGTCCATCCACCTCCACGTGCTCAGCAGTGGACGGCAAGCCCGTGTGCGTGTGTGGAGTGGGTCAGGCGCTCGTCAACAGCTCGCAGTGCCTTCCAGGTGCGCACCTGCCCCCAACATATCATGCACCTCCCATGCACCGCCCATCGCATGCCTCCTCCTCGTCCCGATGTCTCTCCATCTCCCGTCCCACCATCACTCCCTCACCATCCACCCTCTCATCGCCTGCCTCCCCTCCTTCCCTTTTTTCCCACTCTTCCTCTCCCCACCCCCCACACCCCCCGCCCTCGCCCAGACCCGTGCATGGGGGTGAGCTGTCCAGCGGGCGACCTGGTGTGTGACGGCAGCACAGGCAAGGCACAGTGCGTCTGCCCCAAGGGGACGCTGCTCGTTGCCCCCAACATGTGCCTGGGTGAGTGTGCTGTCCCGCCCACAATCTACTGCTGCTGCTTCCTGCTTCTTTGTGCGTCCCCCTCCTTCACCCATCCTCACTCATTGTATACCCTCGTTCTATCCCCATCCTCCTAGACCCCCTACTCACCCGTCCCCACCTCTCCTCACCCCTCGTCACCCCTCTGCAGTGCCGGTATGTGTGGGGATAGAATGCCCCTCCACGTCTCGCTGCAAGGCCACCAGCAACAACATCCCCTTCTGTGCCTGCCCTGCCTCCTACTCCCTTGTCAACGCCACCTGCATTCAAGGTACTCGTTACAAGCACATCCCTCTATAGCTTCTCGCCATCAGCACACGCACCGTCCCAATCACATCCTCTCGTGCCCTCTCTCACCCTCCCATTTCCTCTGTCCGTTTCTCCCTCTCTCCCTCTCTCCCTTTTTTCTCTGTCCGTTTCTCCCTCACTCTCTCCGCTCTACGCCCCCCAACAGCGGCCCCTGCCACAGTGACAACCAGCCTGGTGGTTTACAACGCGCCCAACTTTACCAACTCACCCGCCTCCCTCGCGCCCGCCGTGCTCCGATCCCCAACGCCCGGCGCGGGCTGCGTCAACATCCCCGCAGCCTTTGCAGGGGCGGTGGGGTCAATCAAGATTCTCTGGGACGTGCCTGACGGTGCGGCTGGAGGGCGGCAGGTGTGCGGGCTGATGTGGTTCAATAATGACACTGACTGCTCTGGCTGGTCCAGCGGCACGTACAAGGCCGCCAATGGTCTCACCACCTTTGAGTGAGCACTTCTTGCCTTCGCTTCTGCCTCTGCACCTTCTCCTGTGCTCTCAACTCCACCCGCCAATGAGCTTGTTCCTGTATACTCGTTATTGAGTGATCCACTGACTGTGGTATGCTGCTGTCTGATTGTGTGTGTGCCCTCCAGAACCACGAGTGGTCACTTCGCAAATCTGAGATCTATTGCCTGCTCACCATGAGGAAAAGATGAGCCGAGCTGCCCCGCGGAGCAGAACAGAGTGGCAACTGTGGTTTAGTCTGAATCTTGGGACCTGCAGTTCTTCTTGTCATTGTCGACTATAACTATGGCTACCACGCAAATGTATTGATATTTTGTGTATGGTATACATAAAAAGGAAAGACCTGTAACTTCTTACCCCAGCCTTAATTACGAACGTCGGGCAGAGTATTCGAAAAATGTGGCGAAGGCAATCTTGGCCTTGCATTGAATGTGTAACTGTTGGGCTGAGAATAATAGCCCTTAGGATCTTTGCAAGGGTGAACTCTGGGTAGAACTGATGTAGTAACGGAAGCATTTTTTTTATGAAGAGTTGTGAACCACCTTGTGCTAGTATGTGAGGGCAAAGTGTTAGAGACGCAGGACAGGCAGGGACAGGGTCAGAGACAAGACTCGCAAGGTAGTGGAGGCGGTACACAGCAGCAAAGTCAACGAGCTCAGCTACTAGGGCAGACGCAGCATAAGACGAGAACGTAGGGTCCGTCACAACCGTAGCAAGAAGGCGAGTAACAGTCGGACTGGACGCACGAGCAAGGTCAGACGGAGGGTCAGCAACGTCAGGCAAAGAGGACGCAGGAGGTAACGGTAGGACAACACCCTGAGGAACAGAGGAAGGATGGAGTGTCATATCGTGAGTGCCGGGGACAGCCGGAGCACGTTGACGACGAACACGAGGAACACGAGCACGGACAGCAGCTCTAGGCTCAGGCTCAAGGTCAAAGCTAGACTCGGGCTCTCGACGCTCAGGGGTGGAAACACGAGTCTCAGGCTCTCGACGCTCAGTCAGGGACTCTGACACCATAGTGTAAGGAGTAGGAGCAGGCAGTGGGGAGTGTGGTAGCAGCGGCGGCTGTGACTGGTCCGCCGGTGGACACAGCAACGGAGGAGTAGTACCTGCCACAGGGAAACCTGTAGCACCTGGCTGAAGAATGAGAAGGTGGCGAAGAGCACCAGTAGCTCCACCAGGACTTCAAGCACCTCCAGCACTTCCAGCCCCTGCAGCTCCAGCTCCTCCAGCACCAGCAGCTCCAGCAGCTCCATGACCTCCAGCACCAGCAGTACCTCCAGTACCTCCAGCACCAGCAGCTCCACGACCTCCAGCACCAGCAGCACCTCCAGTACCTCCAGCACCAGCAGCTCCACCAGGACTAGCAGCACCTTCAGCTCCCCGACCTCCAGCACCAGCAGCACCTCCAGTACCTCCAGCACCTCCAGGACCTCCAGCACCAGCAGCACCTCCAGAACCTCCAGCACCAGCAATACCTCCAGTACCTCCAGCACCAGTAGCTCCAGGTCCTCCAGTAGGAGCTCCGACGACACCAACACCAGAAGGACTCGCAGCACCCCCAGAGTCAGCACCCGAACTCGCAGCACCCCCAGAGGCAGGACCCTTGGTCTCAGCACTCGCAGGCTCAGTACCCTCAGTCGCAGCACCCCCAGGCTCAGTACCCTCAGTCTCTGCTCCAGTGTCCACAGCAGCAGGCTGCAGAGGCGGCGAAGACGGCAGAGGTGGGAACCTGGGGGGTGTAGCCAGACGAGGAGAGTGGGCACCCCCGGACTCACCATCCCCAGCCCCAGCTCCAATAGTCTCAGCTCCAGAGTCCACAGCAGCAGGCTGCGGAGGCGGCGAAGACGGCCGTGGCGGGAAACCCGGAGGGGGTCTCCAAGCGAGGAGTGCGGCGAGTGGTTGCCGTGTCCTCGGCGACGGCGTCACCCCCCTCAGGTGAGTCAGAGGAGTCAGAAGAGATCTCAACTGGCTCATCCAAGGGGGGTGGGTCAACCTGGGACACACTTGAGGGAGCAGGACCCTGTGGGGGAAAAGGGGGTCTACCGGGGGGGACTGGTACCAGGAAGAGAGGTGCGAGAGGGACCGGGTGGGACGCGTGCGGGTGAAGTCGGTAGTAACAGACCGACTCGTCGAAGGTGACATCCTGAGAGGACAGAACAGGACGCAAGGCAGGGTGGTAGAACTGCCAGGGTGGAGCGTCGGTGGGGAAACCCAGGAAGACACAGCGGAGAGTGCGAGGGGAGAGCTTGCTCGCTTTGGTATCGCGAACAAGGGAGAGCGCGCCCCAGACCCGAAACGACGACGCATCACCAGGCTGTCCCATCCAACGGAGTGTGGGCGAGGTCTCTGGAGCAGAGACATGGGGCCAGAGGTTGAGCTGATGCGTGGCGTATCGGACCGTAAACGGCCACAGGAAATGGGGAGCAGCCGCATGGATCATAGAGGTACGAGCAACCTCCATGATCAGGCCAATGCGACGCTCAGCGATCCCATTTTGCTGCGGAGAGGCTGGAAGCGTGAACGACTGGGCGATGCCCTCATCCTCGCAGAACGTCTCAAGGACGCCAGAGGAGAACTCACCAACCCTGTCAGAGTGCAGACGCGGAACTGCAAAGTCCCGCCGAAACCGCTCGCGCAGTTGGTGACGAGTAGCACGGATCCCGGGGATCAAGACACCACTGACATCCACCTTGCGCCACAAGGGGAAGACTGTGGTGTAGCGTGTGTAGTCGTCAACCACTAGCAGGAAGTAGCGCTCCTGGTCCGTTCCACCGACGGGGGCCGGGCCCCACACGTCCATGTGGAGAGTCTGCAGAGGAGCAGTGGTCGGAGGAAACTCGGAGGAGTGAGGAGCGGCGTGCTGCCGCCCCTCGACGCAAGGAAGGCACGGCGGCGCAAGTGAGCGCGGGAGGGGGGGCAGGGTCTCAGGGAGGCCAGTGACCAGGAGCTAGGAGTGCATGTGGCGCACACGCTGTGGGAGGGGTGACCAAGACGGTGGTGCCAGCTGAGTCTCGTGCGTGAGTACTAGGCACGAGCTAACTGCCCTGACGCAGACGCTCAGCTAACTCACCTGACGCAGACGCTCGACTCGACGTAGCTACCTGACCTGACTCAGCCACCTGTGCAGACGCAGTGGTCAATTTGTACAGCCTGGACCCAAGCTATCGAGTGAACGTAGCCAGGTGACGGCCAGTCCGAGAGCACGTACAGATCGCCACTCGCTGCCCTCCAGGAATAAAGGTATCAACCCAAACATCCTGAATGGCAGCGTTGCTCACCAAGTTCGTCAAGAACGTGGGGAGGTGGAGACCTGACAAAGAGCCGGAGGGGACTGCTGGACAAGGGAGGACCGTGGAGGCTCTCGCAACCACTGGGCCCCCAGAGGGGTCAGCCAGTGAGACTGGGACAGGTGATGTGAGTGGTGTGAATGTGGTGCAATCACGGAAGAAGCAACGTGACGCGCCGGAGTCAAGCGTGAAAGTGTGCAAGACCTCAGTTGAGGCAGGACTAGTGGTAGTAGACGCACTAGCAACTAGAGCGTCGGTAGACTCACGGGCACCTAGAGCTGCAGCAGACTCACTAGCACCTGGAGTGGCAGCAGACTCACAGACAGTGACTGTCAGGAGTAGGTCCAGCACCTCCAGCTCCTACAGCGCCAGCAGCACCTCCTACACTCCCAGCAGCACCTCCCCCACTTCCAGTAGCACAAGTAGCAGCAGCAGCAGCAGTAGTAACAGCAGCAGGGCGGTTCGGTGGGGGTGGGAGGCCGCACCTCCACCACTCCCAGCAGTACTCCCTCCAGTAGCAGCAGTAGCAGGGCGGCTCGAGCAGCAGCAGCAGACCGAGCAGCACTAGTAGACCGAGTAGCACTAGCTGTAGCAGTAGTAGTTGCAGTACCAGCAGCAGTGACAGCTCTGGCTGGGCGGCGCGGCTCGGACACAGTGGCAGAGCAGCAGTAGCACTAGCTGTAGCAAGTGCAGTAGTAGGAGCTGCAGCAGTAGCACTAGCTGAAGCAAGTGAAGTAGTAGGAGCTGCAGCAGTAGTACTAGCTGTAGCAGTAGTAGCTTCAGTCAAGCAGCAGTAGTTTCAGTCAGGAGCAGCTGTAGCAAGTGCTGGAGTACGAGGTGCAGCAGTAGCACTAGCTGTAGCAAGTGAAGTAGTAGGAGCTGCAGCAGTAGTACTAGCTGTAGCAGCAGTAGCTTCAGTCAAGAGCAGCTGCAGTAAGTGCTGGAGTAGGAGCTGGAGCAGTAGCACTAGCTGTAGCTTGAGTAGCTTCAGTCAATAGTAGCTGTAGCAAGTGCTGGAGTGGGAGCTGCAGCAGTAGCACTAGCTGTAGCAAGTGCTGGAGTAGGAGCTGCAGCAGTAGCACTAGCCGGAGTAGCCGTAGCTTCAGTCAGTAGCATCTGTAGCAAGGGCCGTAGTAGCAGCAGCAGCAGCAGTAGCACTAGCTGTAGCAGCACTAGCTTCAGTAGCAGCAGCAGTGAGTAGCGCTAGCTA